TACCGGATATATGTAAACTCATACAATCAACCAATATTATATGGATAAATCTTTCCATCGAATAGAGCTTTTCACTTGGAAATTGCATTAAAAGATACAGCATGATTCACAAATCATATCACTCACCACTCTTAATCAAATACTCATAGTTAAAATAATAAATTGAATTAATTTAGTTATTCCAGTCACGTGCAAATGCTTTCTAAATTTTTTTTTTTAATTTTTTTTATAGTGCGAAAAAAATTTCATGCGATGAGGTATAAACTTTTTATTTGTATATGATAAGTATTCAAACTCATTTGATAAAAACATAAACATATACACAAGGAAAACAAAATGGTATGTACTATATCACTATAACTAAGTGAACATATACTAACAACTACTCCACAGATCAGAAGACAAGCACGTGAAAGAAGAGAATATTTATATCGTAAAGCTTTAGAATTACAAGAATCACAATTAGAACAAAAAAGACAAATTATAAAAGCTTCATTAGCCAAAGGTAAAGCATTACCAAAAGAAATAAGTGATGATAAAAAATTACAAAAAGATTTTATATATGATGAATCAATTCAAAAAAATTCTGAAAATGATGAAGGTATAGATGATGAATATTCACAATTTTCTGGTATTGTGGAACCAAAATTAATTATAACAACTTCAAGAGATCCATCATCAAGATTATTACAATTTTCCAAAGAAATAAAATTAATTTTCCCAAATTCTATAAGGTTAAATAGAGGTAATTATATTGTACCAAATTTAGTTACAGCTGCACAAAATTCAAATACTTCAGATTTAATTTTATTACATGAACATCGTGGTGTACCAACTTCAATGACTATATCACATTTCCCTCATGGTCCTACTGCTTTTTTCACATTACATAACGTTGTACTAAGACATGATATGCCACAAACTGGTAATCAAAGTGAAGCTTATCCTCATTTAATTTTTGAAAATTTTACAAGTAAATTAGGTGAAAGAGTTGTTACTATATTAAAACATTTATTCCCACCAGGAGTTAAAAAAGATAGTCCAAGAGTTATTACATTTAAAAACGATGGTGATTTTATAAGTGTAAGACAACATTTATATGTTAAAACTAAAACTGGTGTTGAAATTAGTGAAATTGGTCCAAGATTTGAAATGAGATTATTTGAATTAAGATTAGGTACTTTAGAAAATAAAGATGCAGATATTGAATGGAAATTAAGAAGATTTGTTCGTACTGCAAATAGAAAAGATTATTTATGAGTTCCATACTGTGTTTAATAATTAATTAATACTATACCTATTACATATATGTAGTACTAAAAAATCATAAATTTGTTAATATTATAAACACCAAAAAGAAACACATAAATGTAATAAAAAAGGGAAGAAGAAAATATTTAAAATCATATACTATATACCCAAAAAATATTGAAAAATTAAAAAAAATCATATAAACCAGATAGAAAAATGGTGAAAGTTCAAGCAATAATACTATTTTGACTTGATTTAGAGATTTCTGAATTCCCATTAATTTCACCATTATTTTTTCTTAAAGTATCACCAATTGAACTAACAACAAAACTTTCATCATCTTCATTTAATTGATTAAATTGACGATTATTAAAAGAATTTGGTATTGAATGATATGAATGATTTGATTTAAGGGAACTTTGATTTGATATTGTTTTATTTAATGAATTTTGATTTAATGATGTTATATTTTTTTTGGAATTTGAATGAATTGATGAGGTTCTTCTTTTTGGAAATTGTGATGATGATGATGTTTGATTAATTGATTTAATTGAATTTGGGAAATCAGATTCAGAATCTGAAGAATTTGGTGAATCAGGAGTTAATTGAAATTTTTTTTTATTTAATCCAGATTGTGCAAGGTTATTATTATTATTATTATTATTAAAAGGATTATTATTATATGAATGTTGAGAAAATGATCCTGGTCTTGTTGTTGATTGAGAATTTGGTGGTCTAATTAATCCATGTCTTTGTGGAGTTATTGAATTTGCAGCATTTGAAATAAAATTTTGATTATTATGAATTTGTGAAATTGAATTTGATCTTGAATTTGATTTAGAATTAACAATTGAATTTGATCTTGAATTTATAAATGATGAAGATAATGATTGACTAATTGAAGGTCTTTTTGGGTTTGGATTTTCATTATTAATCATATCAGCATAAGAATAAAAACTTAAAGTTGGAGGTCTTTTTGGTGTACCATTTTCATCAATATTTGAATTATTTATATTTGCAAATGAATTTGATCTTGAATTTGGTGAAAAAATTGAATTTGAACTTGATTCTGGATATTGTTGTTGATCTCCAAGAAATGATTTATTACGACCTAAAGCCATATTTAAACCCATTACACTTGATGGACGTCTTGAATAAACCATATCAACATTATCTAAATTTGTATTTTCATCACTAAGTATTTTGGTTGTTGCATCAAGACATGGAGAAACAAAATTTTCCACAGAATAATGTGAAGGTAAATTAACAATTGATTGATGATTACAATTTAATTTCCCTTGTGAACCATTATTATTAGTATTACATCTGGCACATGTTGGTTGTTGATAAAGTTGAGTTGGATCTTCAACAGATCTTTCAAAAATTAAAGAAGATTCAGAAGGTGATCTTGGAGAATGGAAAGGTGGGAAATATTGATTTGATTCTTCAAAATCTTTTCTTTGATTTGGTGAATAATAACCATCTGGATGATATGAATGAATATTATTTTCATCATCATCATCATCATCATCAGCAACAGCATTTTCATCATCTTCATGGTAACGGTCATAACTTTTGTGTGAATCTATAGGGTCTAAATCATTTGATTTTGATTCTTGTTGTTGTTGTTGTTGACCATCACGTTTATCTTGTTTTGTTATTGAATTAGTTGAAGATTTCCTTTTTGAAGCAAATTTGAACAAGTTTAATTTATTTGTAGTTGAATCATTTGATCCACCAACCATAATGTATTGAGATTGATATGATTGTGTTTTTTTTCTTGGGGGTTGTTGATATTCTCTATATCTTTAATATAACGGATAAGGAAACAAGGGGATAAAAACTTGAAAAACAATGAAGTAGAAACACAACGATATTATCTAATAAGCATTCAATGTGTATGTATGTATGTGAAGATACCCTGTTTATATATATATATGAATATGAACTTTTTGTTTTTGACTTTTTCTTCTCTTAAAGTCGTTTTGCTGATCTTATTAATATTGGTTTTTGATACCCCTTTGAGAATAATTGGGCTTAGCTGGGTGAACAGAAGGACTTAGTTGGAAGCCAGAAGGAACTTGAAAATATCAATGGGAGCTAGACAGAGAATAATATGTTTCTTGAAGATCAAACAATTCCAGAAAGATTATTTTAAAACAATCCTTTTCAAATATTCTCTTTATGTTTCTTAGAATTTACTATGTATTTTTTGAAATTGATTTTGAACTGAGTATAATTGAATTTTGAAATCTAGTATGCGCATGGTTGGGGAACGAATTACGTAATGGATGATGTAAACAAAAGTTATATTTATAAAGACAGGGTAAATTTATATAATTCGCGCCGGCGGCGGCGGCGGCGCGCGGCCATGATGATGATGATGATGATCAAGTCTATTGACACAAGATGTAGGATTGACAATCACATATGTCATTTCTTGCTTCAAAATTTGGCAGAGCTGGTCTATAGTACATAAGGTATATTCATGTCAAATCACTAGCTTGAAACCTTCTTTGTTGTTGTGTTATAACTTATAAGGTGACTCATCCCATTTCGGCATTTTGACATTCTTCAACGTCTCGAGATTTTAGTCAAGTGCTCTGATTTTAGTAAACTTCAACTGCGTACTACAAAGGATTGAAAACTTCAAATGACTAATTGTTTTAAAGAATCTTTTTCTGTGCCAATGAATATATATTCCTATGAATGCTTGAGAGAAACAAACAATTTTTAGCTGATCTTTGTCTATTCTGAAATCATGACCTTAAATCAAAATTGAGCTCAATTTATGAATTGATTTCTCACATTTGAAAGCTTTAGAGCTCATGGGAAAACCAGGTTCTAGTATTTCCGTCAATTCAATTAAGTTAAGGTAAATATTTTTTATAACATTTAAACGATGTTGAAGTATTGATAACACAATTCAAAAACATGACCTTTGATCAAAATGTGTCAAAAAATTTCAAGTCTTCTCCAAAAAATCAAATCATGATTTAAAAATAGATCCAGATTCCTGAGATATTCAAGTATAGCTGGCTGATCTACGTTTGTTAATTTGCCAGAACAGTCCGTTGGAAAATGAAAATGATTTTGTTAATTAGCACCAGCTAACCTGGAGCATAATTTACCATCATCAATGACCTTGTCACTTTTGCCAACATATATATAGAGGTCGTGTAAACGAGGAAACTTTTTTAGCACAAATTATATAATTTGACATTTCAACTGCATGTTAGTTTGCAAAGAATTATTGAACACCTTAATTCACCAAATTAGTCTAACACTTTAATTAAATCGAATTTATGCACCAATGAATATACATACCTATGGGATATTTAATATTCTTTGTCATTAACTCTAGTACAGCTACTATAATCGATCAAATTGAATAAGAACTACATTATAAATTCATTAATAATCTTGACGTATGTTTAAACATAAACTATTAATGATGAATTGGTTGAACCTGATTACAATATAACCTAATCTATAACTGATGTCAGCACTTAGGGTTATTAATTCTTTTAATATATTTGATAATGGTTTTGGATTTTTTTTAATTTTGTATAGTTTGAAAAATGAAAAGTTGAAATATCTCTTGTTTAGTTTGGAAAATAAAGATTTTGAAAGTGAATATAATAAAAAAAAGTTGAAATATCTTAATTTCTTTAAACAAATTTGAAATTATTTTTTCAATTTTTTGAATTTTTTGAATTTTTTGAATTTTTTATGGTAATTTGAAAAATAAAGATTTTGAAAGTGATATAATAAAGAAAAGTTGAATTGATATCTTAATAGGTATAATCTTTAATTAAATTAATTGTATTTGTAATTATTTTTTGAATTTTTTGAATTTTTTATGGTAATTTGAAAAATAAAGATTTTGAATGTGAATATAATCAAAAAAAAAGTTGAATTAATATCTTAATTGATATAATGAATCTTGTATGGTATTTGTAAAGTAATTTGAGGAGAAAAAAATGGAAAATTTAATTGCTTTGAAATTATCAACTTCATCAATTGTAATCAAAAAAAAAAAATATTGGATTATTTTGAATCTTCATTGAAGATTAACTCTTCAATAACAATAGCAGCAATACCAACATCAAGTAACCCTATGCATAAACAGATTCTAACAAAACTTATCATGACTCTTTCTCTTGCCTCAACCATACTTGGAAATGATAAAAGCTTATGGGCCCCTAAAAAGATTAAATCACCAAATGTCTGTTTAATTTTATCATCTGAAATAAAATAACTTGCTAAAATAGGGATCAGTAAAAATAAGACATTTGTGAATATATTGAGGATAGTTTTATAATTTGATTTAATATCATTTGGTCCACTATCGAAGTTCACTTTTGAAATCAGACATGCAACCATAATTGTGATGATAATTAAGCAAACCAAACGAAAACCTTCCCAGATTATTCTCCATTTTGTTATTGACCGGTTTTCGAACATTCTTGATAATTCGGTTTGCTCACGTGGTGGTGGTGTATCAACTCCAGTGGTAGTATTAACTTCACCATTGGTTGGCGCTTGAGGTTGTTCGCTACTCGACATGTTTTTGAGGTTAGTTAGAAGATTCTAATTCTATGATTATCTTCAGTGTGTTAAGTGTAGTAAATTCCATATGAGCTAGTCGAACCTTTATCAAAAGTATTTTTTATCAAGTTGTCAATCATGTACACAAAAACAATTTCTTTAGGTTCAACTGATGAACATCGACAATTATATAATCCAGCTCCATAATTACAGATAAGATAGCTGGTATTGATTGAATCAAAAGAGGTCAATTATAAGCAAATATATATTTGGATCAAAGGTACGTGTACTCATACGAATTTATGTCAAATATGGTCATTAATTATAACAGTTCTCTTATACGGTGTAGACATTGAAATTCGCAGTGCCTGTTAAAAAAACAAACAATATATATATATATGAAATCTGTAATTTAGCTGTACTTCATAATGTGTGCTAAACGTAAAATGTTTTAGATTAATGGTGGTGCTTCATCTAATCATAATGGTTCTCAGGTCCTAAAAGAATGGTGTACAATGTACAATGTACAATAGTCAATAGTCATTAAATATCGTTGGAGCTTAGCGACGGCGCGTGTGCTGTATATATCATTTTATGTAATGACTTATATAATGGATAATCACATGACTATATATTTTAAGTTACATACTCATTTCAAAACACTTGATTCATAACTTGGTGGAAGTTCATCATTATTACTATTGATATTATAATTCAAATAACCAGGAATCAATGTGATTATTCCTTGATTGTGAGGTTCAGACAATACATCATTTGATATCATATAGTTCAATTGCTGCAGAATAAATTCATAATTTTGTAATGTAAATTCTTCACCCCATATTGCCATAATCTTTAATTGATCTTGATAATTAAATTCATATGCTTTAACTATATGGTCAAATGAACCACGCTTCTCATATTCATCTGACATAAGGAATGTTATCAAGCTTTCTATTATGATTCTCAACGGTAAATTTAAATCAGTGTACTTTTCAGGCTGGTATATATTCATTAATAATTTGTTTTCTTCAATCATATCTAATCCATTACCAAATGATTCAGTATATAAAAAATCAGGTATATCACTTTGGAAATTTTTGATTAAATTAAATAATATTTCAACTAAGCAATCCTTTAAATCATATCCAGGCATTAAATAAAATGAAACATCACACATTCTCTTTGGTACTAATGTACTTTCATTAATCTTTCTCCATTTTATTAAAATTGATTTATGGTTTAATGTAAGTTCTTTTGATGGTTTAGGAACTTCTTTGTAAACACTTATTAACTTATTATTAACCTTATCTTTATGGAAATTATTAAAAGTTTCATGATCTAATTTAAAATGTTTGGGTGATTTGGCTAATAATATATTATTAGCTTTCGAATATTCATGTTTAGGTTTATAAACATATAATTTTGGATAAATTTCAATTCTATATCCTGCTTTTTCAATAATCATTATGATTCGATCCAGTACGTGAACTAATATTGATATATTGGACAAGGAATTTGTTTAATTAGTTGAAGAAGTTGTCAATTTATAATTTTTAATGAATTTTACATATACTATAATATATATAAATAGCCTAGGACTATGATCAACAGTATCTCAATATCAAAAACTGCAAATCTATAATGAAGTTCTCATCATATTATCATTAACAACGATGATCAATTATAATATTCTCAATACTTAACAGCTTGTGTATACATATTAATGATGCAAATCACCAAAACATTTTAAAATAGAATATGTTTAAATATATAATCAATAAATTTTTAGCTGATCAGATCATACGTATATGAATATTACATAGTACAATTATATATAGCATATATATAAATATTAGCCTTGGACCATGATCAATGCATTGATATTGATCATCTTCAAAAAATTTCAATGTATACATCAATTAGAATTGAAAATTTAACTTATAATATTAAAGTTCTCATCATGAGCAGTTCATTTGAGTTTGAATCAAGTTTTGTTTCTTTTGTTCTTTAGGAGTAAATTATATAACACTAGAAGATTTTATATAGCTGTACTGCTAGATGTGAAATTAATATTTACTTCATATATTTACATAACTATTGCATAATGCTTGAACCATAACTTGGTGGAAGTTCATCATTATTACTATTGATGTTATAATTTAAATAGCCGGGAATCAATGCAATTAAACTATCATTTGGAGGTTCAGATAATACATCATTCGTAATGATATAATTCAATTGTTCCAGCATAGTCTTATAAGTTTTTAATGTTAATTTTTCACCCCAGATTACCATAATTTTAAGTTGATTTTCATAATTGAATTCATATGCTTTAACTATATGATCATATGAATCTCGTATCTCATATTCTTTTGACATAAGGTATGTAATTAAACTTTCTAATATGATTCTCAAAGGTAATAGATCACTTTGCAGATTTCCATATTGGAAAATATTCATTAGTAATTTGTTCTCTTCAATCATATCTAACCCATTACCAAAAACTTCAGTATTTAAAAAATCGGGTATATCACCTTGGAATTTTTTAATTAAATCTGATAATATTTCAATCAAAAAATCTTTCAATCCGAATCCAGGTATGAAATAGAATAATACATTACATGTTTTCTCTGAAACTGAGCTCAATTCATTAACCCTTCTCCATTTGATAATAATACTTTTGTGGTTTAATGTGAGTTCTTTCAAAGGTTTTGGAATTTCTTTAAATACACTAATCAATTTATCATTCTTTTTATCTTCATAAAAATTATTTGAAGTTTCATGATCTATTTTAAAATGTTTTGGTGATTTGGCAAATAATAAATTTTTAGCTGCATTATAAACTGCATCATCTTTAGGTTTGACATATAATGTTACAGAAATTTCAATTATATATCCTGATTTTTCAAATTTCATCATCTTGATTCAATGAGATACTTGTTATGAATCAAATTATAAGTTGTTTAATCAAGATCATTTCAATCAATCTTCAATTAATATATATATACATGATGAACCATGTCCATGACGCTTAAAAACTCTCAACATATCAAGAATTTAAATTTTATAATAAACTTCTCATTGATCATCGATCATCAAAGCTATATATATTGATGATTTTCAATCAAGAGTAATGCTCTCAGTATGTAACGTATGTATGCTAATGATTGACATACATCGAGATGATCCACTATCATAAAAAATGTAAATCAATTTCTATATTAACCATTATACTTCTATTATAATTTAAATCAAACAAAGAACTACATTATAAACAGTAATTAATCATGACATATATAAACATAAACTTTTTTCCAAAAACACGTAAAAAACACTATATAAACGCTATTCTATTACCAACCTCTTGTATAAAAATCTGTACCACTTGAATCCCATTCATCATTATCAAAATTTTTAATTTTTGATCTAATAATTTTTGGTTTATTTGGATCAGTTGGATCTTGAACAAATTCAGTTATTGATTCATTATTTATTTGATCATTATCTTCATTATCATCATCATCATTATTCTTAACATCATTTGATTCTGAATTTTGAAGTTTTTTATCTTTGGATTTCTTGGAATTTTTAGAATTTTTGGATAATCCATTTGATAATCCACTTGGTAAACCATTTGGTAATCCATTTTTCCTATCCCATAAAATACTTTTCCTCATTGAATCAGATAATTCAGTTGCCAACATTTGTCTTCTTGTTGTTTTGGGTGATAATTTTCTTGAAATATTAAAATCAATTTGTTCAGAAGAATTTTGTAATCCATCAATTTCAACATTAAATTTTGGTTTATTATTAATTGGTACTATTGGAGATTTACCCATTTGATCATCATTTAATGTAGATTCATTAACTTGTTCTTGAGTTGTAGAATTTTTTCTTGATACATCATTTGATGAAGTTGTACCAGATTCCATCTCCATCACTGAAGACAGTTTTGATTTAGCTCTTTTTTGATGAGCATTTGGTAAGAACATATGTGTAGATAATGCAGTTGGTAATAATGTTGAAGCAGTAGGTGGAGCATTTGATTCATGTCTATATTTAGTTCTTGTTCTATCACTTGCAATTGAACTAAAACTGTTTTTTCTTCTTGATGCAAAATAATTTGTTAAATTTAAAGCAGAATTTGAAATCATCTTAGTTATTGATGAACTTGGTTGAACATTTGAATCATTTTGTTGTTGTGAACCTGTTAATTTATCTCTCAATAAACTTTGATCATTATGGAAATTTGTTTCACCAACTTGTCCACTAACATTAACATTTGAAGTTGATATAACACAATGAGGTTCAGTACTTGAAATTTCTAAAACATCATCATTTAAATCATTATTATCTTGTATGTTGTTGTTGATATTTGATGTTGTTTGATTATGTATACTTGGAGGTTTATGTCTATGTTTAACAATAAGATTTGATGATGAAGCAGAAGTACTTAAATCAACATCATGATTTTGATTCTGAGATTTCCATTGTTGAGGTTGAGGTTGTTGATGTTTAGGAATAGGTTTTTGTTCATTCATTTCATTTAAAAATAAACCAGATAATAACGATCTTTTAATTTGAGGTTTTAATAAATGATCATCTCTTTGAAAATTTGAATTCCATTGATTTTTTAAATCTTGTTCATCATAATCATCAGATAATTCACCTTCACTTTCACTAACAGAACTCCAATCAGATTCATCACTTAATGAATCATCTGAACTAAATATAATTTCTCTTGCAATTGGTTTTTTATCTGCAAATAATGAAGTGTTATTGTTTTGATTATTATTAATTGATTGTTCTTCAATTTTATTTAATTGATCTTCATCTTTTTCACTAATTTCACTATTAGCTAAAGAAGATATAGAATCTTGTAAACTATCTCTTTTAGAATTTTTAGAATCTGATGAAGAAGATCTTTTATGACGATGACGACGTCTTGATTTAGAACGTTGTCTAGCTTGTGGGAGTTGTTGTTGATGTTGTTGTTGTACTTGATGATCAATTAATTTTGAAGGATCAGTTGGTGAAGGAGAACTTTCAATGAAAAACATATTATTTTTATCTTTTCTTTGAATTTGATGTTGTTTATCTGCAAGACTTGTCATACCTAAATTATTTAATACATTATTTCTTTTTTTATGTTGTTGTTGTTGATGATGGATTGGTGATTGATTTGATTGTAAAATATTTGAATTTTTAGAAATTTCAGGACTTATACCAACTTGTTCAAATAATGAAGATTTTATTGGTTTTTGTTGATTAATTTCAGATTTTATTGGTTTTTGTTGAACTTGATTAAATTCATGTAATGCAGAATGATCAAATAATGTCCCAGTTTTCTGTTTTGAAGATTGTTGTTTTGAATCACCTTTCAATACATCATGTGTAGTATCTTGAGATAATGGAGATTTTATTCTATCAGATTGAATTGAATTTGTTGAAGAGTTTTGGTTATTATTAAATAAACTTTTAGTTGACGATGTAATGATTGCAGATTGAGGTCTTTTTGGTTGAGGATTTTTGATATTTTGATTATTAAATAAACTTGGTGCAGAATGTTGTGGTTGATGTTGTTGTTGTTGTTGTTTCTTTGGTGATGAATTATTTGTTGAAGATTGTGAATTTGAACTATTTGTTAATTGAGCCACTGATATATGATATGGAGAAAATCCTCTAACAACAGAAGTTGAAGTATCAGATCTTGTTAATGGAGGAGCTTGAGGTTTATTATTTTCAGTTATTAAATCATTATTGGTAGCTTGTATTACTCCAAAAGCATATTTTGGATTTGGTTGTTCAAATAAATCAGAATCATGTTCAATCTTTATTGATTGTTGTTGTTGTTGTTGATCAAAATTTGATAAATCAATATTTGATTTCTTAGATTTATTATTTAATTTTTTTAAAGATCTTGATGAAGAATTTTTTTTAAATAAATTTGGACGTTGCTTTGTAGTAATATTTTCAATTGAATCTATTGATTTTAATGAATTTTTAGAATTATTTCTAATTAATTTTGAATTTGAAGATTTTTTCCTTATTAATTGAGGTTTATTTAAAGGATTAATTAAATTTTGATCTGCAACTATTGATAATAAACTTAATAAATCACCATCATTTAATTTATTTTTTGGTTGATCATGATTAGATTGATTGGTTTTCTCAATCATATTTCTATTAACAATTCTCCAACTTATATTTTCTAATCTTTTACCATCTTTTATATAACTTGAACATTTTGTTAACCCCATCCAAACAGATAGGACATTTTCAATATCTAAACCTTGAGTATCATAATTTTGTATAGTATCTTTTGATAGTTGTAAGAAAGGAGGTGGTTTGTTTAACTTGTAATGATTAGATCGACTTGAAGACCAGGACATTGTGTGTTGTTATAATGGTTTATTCTTTATTGATGTACTATATTGGAATGAAACTATTGATCAATAACATTTAAATGGGTGGTTTTGATTGATGAAGAGGGCGGTTGATGATTTGATGAGTTGATGAATATCTTGTTGTATATGTTGTTCTATGGTGTATTTGGTTTGATTGTCTATGTTTTGATGTAATTTTGGTGTAGTTTCTATGATTTCTTTAGTTTTTTGTTTTTTTGATTCTGGTGATGGTTTAATTTTCACACCAGAAAGACAAAGACAGACAATAGGAAGACAAAGACAGAGACAGAGACAGAAGGAACAAAGACAAAGACAAATGAATATGGACAAATGAATATCTACAATAAAATACAAAACATATTTACTAGTATATTAATCACAGTATCACCTCTTCATCGTATTCAATATCCATCATCGTAGTTTTTCATTATGGTCATCTTTTAGCAACAGGGCATTTGAAAGGCATGATAATCTCCGGGTTTTTCATTCGGAAGTGATCGGAAAGACCTTCATATAAAATTGTACTACTAGTATAAAAGTATAAGTATATCAAATAATCATCATATCATAAAATATAAATTGTTATATAAATTATACTATAAAAATCAAGAATATCAATATCAAATCAATGTATACCTTATTTCTTCTCTTGAACTAATGATCTAACATCATTAATCCCACTTTGAATCCCTTCATTAGCTTTATCAACTCCATTTTGTGCTTGATGTAAAGCACCATCTGCACTACTCCAAAATTTAACACCAGCATCTCTAGAAGTTTGATTTGTCCAATTTTTTAAATTTTCAGAAGCTTCTGTTAATTTTTTTTCAGATTCTTCAAAATGCTTTTTGGTTTCAGCTTCTAAATCTTTAGCTTGTTTAGAACTCCATGATAACCAACCTGATGAATTTTTCTTTAATTCTTCTTCAGCCTTGTTAAAATTTGATTGAGCATCTTTATAAAATTCTTCAGCACCTTCTTTGGAATCAGCATATTTTTTATTTGTCCATGCACTCCATTCTTTTAATTTTGAATCTAATTCAGCTTTTTTTTGATCAGCTTGATGTTTAACATCATCAAATTCATCCTTAGAGAATTGTTCAGCAGATTCACCCCAACCTCTTAGACCTTTTTGAGCTCTTTGTGCAATTTCTTCATCTTTAGATTGATTTGATTTACCACCAAACCAATTACCAAAACCCCATGATTTACTTGACTTGTTAGACGAAACCTCATTCAATTGTTCTTTAGAAAATTCCTCAGCAGTTTCACCCCAACCTTTTAAACCTTGTTGAGTTCTTTTAGCTAATGTTTCATCATTAATACCACGACCAGTTGATTTAGAATCACCACCTCTTAACCAATCATAAAATCCATTAGATTTTTGTAAATTTAAATCTTGTTTATTTAATTTATCAACACCTTGGTCTAAAGTTTCTTTTGCTTTATTTTGCCAATGAGAAACTTTATCTTGAGCTTTTTGTAAATTATCTTGAGCTTTTTTCAATTCTAATTCAGCATCTTTATGTAATTTCTCTTTGGTATCATCCTTATTATTCCATGATAACCAACTTTTCTTGGTTTCTTTATATCTTTTTTCTGCATCATCATATAATTGTTGAGCTTCTTGATATGCAAAATCTATAGATTCTTTAGTTTCATCTTTTGCACCAAACCAACCTGACCAAAAAGATTTCTTACCTTGTTCTAAATTAGCTTTGGTTGAATCAACTGCTTTATTAGTTTCATCTTGAGCTTTACCAAACCAACCATTGGCTTTAGATTCAGCCTTGTTTAATTGATCTTGTGCACCAGATTGTAAATCTTGTGATTTGGATTTAATTTGATGTTCAACATCATCTTTAGTTCCAATTATAGAATCTTTAGCATTGGATAAAGAACCAAATACAGAAGATTTAGCAGCTTCAGCTTCTTTTTCTATATCTTTACCAAGTTTATTTAAACCTTTTGGATCATCTTTATGAGCATCTTTACTGAAAATACTAGCCTTTTCTTGAGATTTAGATTCAACTTGATCTAATTTCTCTTGGGCATTATTAATTTTTTCATTTGTCCAATTTGCTAATCTTGCTTTTTCAGATTCAGCTTGAGAAAATCCTTTATCCAATTGCTTATTAGCATTGGTTTTTAAATCATCCAATTTATCACGAGTATCAATTGTAATTTCATCTAATTTACGTCCAGTATATTGACCAGGACCTTCTGAAGTACCAGTACTAGAAGAACCAAAACCTGGTAATTTATTCTTTAAAGAATCTTGTTGAGTTGTAATTTTAGATTGTTCTAATCTTGTTTGATAAACATAATAACCAGCACCTGCTAAAACAGCACCACCTAATAAATATCTTGTTTGTGACATTATGAAATATTGTTAATTGTTGTTAATTGTTGTAATTGTAATTGTTGTGAAAGTGGGAAATCAATCTAATTTATATAAAACCCCTTTTATCCTTAATTATGGGGTCATATAAATATCATGTGTAATGTGCTTATACTACTTTGCTATATTATGTAAGTTTGCTATTTATGATCAGAGACATACATTATGGTGATATGGAATAGTCTAGAGAGTGTATGTATTGTTAAATAGTGTGTATTGTGTATTGTATAGTATATATTATAGTATATTATATTGTAATTATAGTCTAGTTTATGTTCAATTGATGATTTGTTTAATATCATTTGATGGTGTATGTCTTTTAACAATAGATTATACATCCGATCGGAACAAAGAAGGAGGTGACAAAGGTGAACAATAACAATTGAACAACAGAACAATTGAACATAACACTCATGTTAACAATCAACTAACAATATTAGTATACCATTGTATATCACAATTAATATATTATGAACTACGTAACTATTGATACTAATGTATTGCTATTATGTGATGTATGAATTGGTAATGTTGTAATGCTTAACTCCACTAGCAATCATTTGACACTATTGTGAAGATCTGGACAACCTCTGGTCAAACAAACAACAAAATAAATAATAATAAACAGATTTATAATATAATCACAATAACATAAGATGATATAATACAATACATCATCTATTATCTATTATAAATTACTATCACTATTACCCATTGTCCACCACTATTCTTTATGTGATCAATCACTAATTGTTACTGGTAGTGTTCACCCGCGAACAACTTTTAAACTATGAAAAACAAATTCCATACTGAAAATTTCAACTTACCACTATGAAACTATGAAACTATTGTGAAAAGGAAGAAAGGGTATAAGAGAAGAGGGACAACAAGGAGAACAAGAATAGCACAATCATTTAGAGTAAGAAGATCAAGATACACTGTCATTGACCATCAAGAACAGTGGGAAACAAAGGTATAAACAGGGTATTTTCAATAGATAATTACGCGTGTTTACTATTTAATACGCGAAAAAACTAGTAGTACTGAAATCCAAAATTTACCCTGAACAAGATCAAATAAATCATGAAAAGTAAACAAATATTTTTATATAAACAAACATTTCCATTTAAATCATTTTATAAACACGCGTCTATCCCATTTATTTTATCAACAACAACAACAACAACAACTAGTACCAACAAACAACCCAACTCACATTCATTCCATACTTATAAATCACTCCTCCATATATCAAATACTCCTAGTTCCAATATGGTTGATCCTTTAGGTGACGCGCAAAGTAAAGTTAATAAAATGACACCAAAAAAGAAAAATGTATCTGAACAATATCAAAAATTATCTCAATTAGAACATATCTTAAAGAGACCTGATACTTATATTGGTTCAACTGAACATCAAGAATCAAATCTTTGGATTTATGATGATCAAACTGAATCAATGATGGAAAAACCTGTTAAATTAGTTCCTGGTTTATTTAAAATTTTTGATGAAATTCTTGTTAATGCTGCTGATAATAAAATACGTGATCCATCAATGAAAAAAATTGAAGTCACGATTAATCCTGAAGAAAATTTAATTGAAATTAAAAATGATGGTCGTGGTATTCCAATTGAAATGCATGAAAAAGAAGGTATTTATATCCCAGAATTAATTTTTGGTAATTTATTAACTTCATCAAATTATGATGATGATGAAAAAAAAGTTGTTGGTGGTAGAAATGGTTATGGTGCTAAATTATGTAACATTTTTTCAACAGAATTCACAGTGGAAACTGCTGATAAAAATACAATGAAAATTTATACTCAAACTTGGAATAATAATATGACAAAAACAAACAAACCCAAAATTAAAACTGTTAAAAAACCTCAAGAATATACTAAAATTTCATTTAAACCTGATTTAGCTAAATTTAATATGGAAATTTTGGATAATGATACTCTTGGTGTTTTACGTCGTCGTGTTTATGATATTGCAGGTACTTTAAGAGATGTTAATGTTTCATTAAATGGTACAACTTTGAAAATTAGATCTTTTAAACAATATGTTGAAATGTATATCAAGGCATTAGAAGCCAAGAAAGCTCTTGAAAATGGTGAACCATCATCTGAAGATTCCAAAAAACCAACAATTGTTTATAAAAAAATTGAAGATCCAAAATCAAAAGGTCGTTGGGAAATTGCATTTGGTGTTTCTGATAGTGCTTTTAATCAAGTTTCATTTGTAAATTCCATTGCAACTACATCGGGTGGTACTCATGTTAATTATATTGCTGATCAAATTGTTGATAAAATTGGTGATGTTTTAAAGAAAAGACATAAAAATTCTACAGTTAAACCATTCCAAATAAGAAATAATATGTTTTTATTTGTTAATTGTTTGATTGAAAATCCTGCATTCACATCACAAACCAAGGAACAAATGAGTACAAGAAGACAACAATTTGGTTCTGAAATTAAAGTCCCTGATGATTTTATTAATCAAGTTTTAAAAACTGAATTTATTTCAAATATCTTAGATGCTGCTCAAGCAAATGCTGATAAAGCTTTGAGAAAAACTGATGGTTCCAAGAAATCAAGAATTACAAATTATTCAAAATTAGAAGATGCTAATAAAGCTGGTACAAGAGAAGGTTATAAATGTACATTAATCTTGACAGAGGGTGATTCTGCGTTATCATTAGCTGTTGCAGGTCTTGCAGTTGTTGGTAGAGATTATTTTGGTTGTTTCCCATTAAGAGGTAAAATGCTTAATGTTCGTGATGCAAGTAATGATCAAATTACTAAAAATGCAGAAATTCAAGCTATAAAGCAAATTATGGGTTTACAACATAAAAAAAAATATGAAGATTTAAAATCCCTAAGATATGGTCGTATTATGATTATGACTGATCAAGATACTGATGGTTCACATATTAAAGGTTTAATTATAAATTTTTTGGAAACTTCATTCCCTGGTCTTTTAAATATTCCTGGGTTTCTTTTGGAATTTATTACACCAATTGTCAAAGTTAATATTACAAAACCAAGAAGAGAAACTTTAGCTTTTTATAATATGCCTGAATATGAATCATGGATTGAAAATGAAAGTCATCAATATACTTGGACTCATAAATATTATAAAGGTTTAGGTACTTCTTCCCAAGAAGAAGGTCGTGAATATTTTTCAGATTTAGAAAAACATTTAAAAACTTTTAATCCATTAGAAGAAAATGATAAAGGTTTAATTGATTTAGCCTTTTCTAAAAAAAAAGCTGATCATCGTAAAGAATGGTTAAGAGGTTTTGTTCCTGGTACTCATTTAGATATTGATTTAAATGAAATTCCAATTAGTGAATTTATTAATAAGGAATTAATTTTATTTTCAATGGCTGATAATATTAGATCAATTCCATCTGTATTGGATGGGTTTAAACCAGGTCAAAGAAAAATCTTGTATGGTTCTTTCAAACGTAATTTAAAATCTGAAATTAAAGTTGCTCAATTAGCTGGTTATATTTCAGAACATACAGGTTATCATCATGGTGAACAATCTTTAATCACTACAATTGTTGGGTTAGCACAAGATTTCGTTGGTTCAAATAATATTAATTTATTATTACCAAAAGGTTCTTTCGGTACAAGAAATATGGGTGGTAAAGATGCATCAGCTGCGAGATATATTTATACTGAATTAGCTACAATAACAAGAAAAATTTTCAATCAAACTGATGATGCTCTGTATACTTATGAACAAGATGATGGTGAAAATGTTGAACCTACATGGTATTTACCAATTATCCCAATGGTGCTAGTTAATGGTGCTGAGGGGATTGGTACTGGTTGGAGTACAAATGTTCCTCAATTTAACCCTGCAGATCTTGTTGAAAATATGAAAAGATTAATGAATAATCAAGAATTATTAGAAATGGAACCATGGTATAAAGGTTGGGATGGACAAATTCAAAAAATTGGTCCTGATAAATATAAAGTTTATGGTAAAATTGAAAAATTAGATGATAATACTTTAGCAATTACTGAATTACCTGTTAAAACTTGGACTGCTTCTGTTAAAGAACAATTATTATTAGGTCTTGGTGGTTCTGATAAAGTTAAACCATGGATTAAAGATATGCAAGAACAACATGGTTTAGGTATTAGATTTATTGTTACTTTATCAGATGCAGAAATGAAAAAATCTGAGGAAATTGGTCTATATGAAAGATTTAAATTACATTCTGTTATTAATTTATCAAATATGGTTTTATTTGATCCACAAGGTCGTATTAAAAAATATGAAACCGTTGATGAAATTCTAAAAGATTTTTATTATGTTAGATTAGATTATTATCAACGTCGTAAAGATAATTTAGCAAAAGAATTATCAAATCATTTAGAAAAATTATCAAGTCAAGCAAGATTTATTAAATTAATTATTGATAAAAAATTGAATATTAATAATAGAAAAAGAGTTGATTTAATTGAAAATTTACAAGAATTAAATTTCCCAAAATTTGATAAAAAGGGTAATCCAATTTTCATCAAGAAAGATCCAGAAGATATCACACAAGATCAAATCGTTGCAGATGAAGATGCTGAAGATGATGGACTGGATGCAGATGCTTCAACTGTTCATATTAGAGAAAATGTTTTTTCAAGTTATGATTATTTATTAGGTTTACCAATTTGGTCTTTAACTCGTGAAAGATATGAAAAATTATTACAACAAAAGGCAAATAAAGAAGATGAATTAACAGAATTATTAAAATTAACTTCCAAAGATCTTTGGAATAGAGATTTAGATGATTTTATGATTTCTTGGAAACAATTTTTAAAAGATGATGAATATAAAAGAACTACTTTAGTTGTTGCTAAAAAAGGTGGTAAAGGTAAAAAAAGATCTAAAAATATTTTGGATGATGATGATTGGTCTGCTGGTGGTCCAAGTAAAAAGAAGAAGAAAACTAATAGTAATGAATTAAAATTTGATGATAGAAAAGGTGACTTAATTCCAATTCCTGATTATGTTGCACCAAAGACTAAAGTTAAAAAGGAAACAACTCCAAAAGTTGAAGAGATTAAACAAGAAGATGGTTCAAGTTCCACTTCAAGTTCTGCTTCTGGATCAAGTAGTAAATCATCAAGTGTTGCACCAAAAGCCACAACATCAACATCATCAAAAGTTAAAAAAGAATCAGGTCCAAAACAAACAAAATTAAATTTTAGTACTTTATCTAAACCAGAAGTTCAAGAACCTGAGTTTAAATCAGTTTTTGGTAAAGGTAATACAATTTTTGGTTCACCAATTAAAAAGAAAACAGGTACTGATGTTTATGATTTAGATGCAGATGAATTATCAAATGATATGGATGGTTTCATTGGTAAATTTGGTTCTGCAAGTAGTGCATTTGATAATAAACCAAGTTCATCTAAACAATCATCTTCATCAACTACAGATGAAGTTATTGAACTGGAAAGTGAAGAAGAAGAAGAAGTTAAACCTTCCAAACCTGCACCAAAGAGAAGAGTTCTAAACAAAACTACAAAACCATCAACAACAACTTCTAAACCAGCTCCAAAGAGAAAAGCTAAAGTTGTTGAATCAGAATCGGAAGAAGATGAATTTTCAGAATCTGATGATGATGTTGTTATGAAATCTGATGATGAAGAAGTTAAAGCTCCATCTAAAAGATCAACTCGTGGTGTTAAGAAGAGTTATAAAGTTGTTGAATCCGATAATGAAGATAGTTTTGTCGTTGATGATGAAAGTGATGAAGATTTTGAATAAGATACCCAGCTATAAATATGTATATTAGAATTAGTTATACCTTAATAAATTAAATGATTATGTTATGTATACGCGAATTTTTGATTATTTGTACCTGAAAATTTCATGAAAATTTCAAAGCAGCAAACTAAAAATGAGAAATTTTGTCACATTGAAAACATGGAAACCACAGGGAAACTCAACAACCAGGTTTTCAATTGACTCAATTCTCGATACTATAATAATTATTATAATAACCATTAGCATTCAACCATTATTATCGACTTATACACGGTTTTAATACCAATTTTCCTTATTATAATTGCTTGTAGTTAATGTAGGCGCAATTTCGCGGGTGTTACCCCGAAGTCTAGTTGTATGCCTGAAACTTGAAATTAGCAGTTATCAAAGTATTTCAAACTTGTAAACAACTTGAATAGAAGTATCAATTGACTTTCTGGTAAATAACCTAGAGAAGGCTGTTAATCAATAACAATGGCTAGTGCTGTATGTTTATTCTTTTATTGGTATTGATGTAATATCAATTGAGTTTGGAAGGTTATTGGTTAGATACTAACTGCTTATTGTTTTAGGAAGGTGATTCTAAATTGTTACCATCAGACCCAACATCAGAACCTGTTACAGGTGTAAGTTTGAAGAAATTTCTTGTAATACAAATTGGAATGAATACTAACTCAATTGAATAGCAAGCTGATGTTATCAAAAAAGCTACACCTTTAACTTCAGATCCAAATGCTACTAGTAAGAATTTGGATCCTGCTAAATTAAAAGAAGCTGAAGAACTTGCTGAAAAAGAGAAAAGAGACCCTGTTCCTGCAACTAGTGTTGGTTGGAAACAAATTGGTGAATGGGAAGAAAAAGATTCATTAACTCTTGATGATGAATTGATGGATTTAGCAACTCCAACTCTTTTAGATAGTTATTTACCTGATCATTTATATGGTGATTGGTTCCATAGTGTTGGTTTATTAATTGGTGCTGGTTTATTATCTTGGATTGTTGGTAGATTTAATTTTTCAATTGCTCCAGTCTTCTTTATTACTCTTGCTGCATCTGTTTATTATAGAGCTTCTATTAAGAAATATAGAGGTGTTGTTAGAGATGGTTTACAAAGAGAATTTACTATTAAACATGTCGAAAATGATTATGAAACTATGGATTGGTTAAATACATTCTTGGACAAATATTGGATTTATCTTGAACCTTCAGTTTCTCAAATTGTTACTGAACAAGTTAATCCAATCTTAGCTTCAAATGAAGGTATTCCACCATTTGTTTCAGCAATTTGGATTGATCAATTTACTGCAGGTATTAAACCACCAAGAATTGATTTTGTTAAAACTTTAGATATTCCAAAAGATGATGTTGTTGTTATGGATTGGTCTTTTTCATTTACTCCTCATGCTACTGCGGATTCAAGTGCTAAACAATTGAAAAATTATGTCAATCAAAGAGTTGTTGTTAAAGCTACACTTTTCGGTATTACAATTCCAGTTGTTGTGGAAAATGTTGCATTTAAAGCTTGGGCAAGAGTTAGAATTAGAATGACTACAAAATTCCCACATTTTGAAACTGTTAATGTTCAAATGATGGAACCACCTCAATTTGATTTCATTTCTAAACTTTTAGGTGAATCTATTTTCAATTGGGAAGTCTTATCATTCCCAGGTCTTTATCCATTTATTAATGAAATGATTAAAAAATTTGCAGGTCCAATGGTTTTCCAACCATTTTCTTTCCAATTAAATGTCCCACAATTATTATCTGGTAGTAATACTTCAATTGGTATCTTGGCTCTTAGAATCAAATCTGCTAAAGGTTTGAAAGCTGCTGATCGTGTCTTGGGTAATACTGTTGATCCTTACTTAACTTTCAATTTTTATGGTAAAGAAGTTTTAGCTAAAACTAAAACTATTTTGGATACTTTAACTCCAACTTGGAATGAAACTGTTTTCGTTTTAGTTGGTAGTTTTACTGAACCTTTAATTATTACTGGTTATGATTGGAATGAAGATAGAAAAGATAAAAACATTGGTTCATTACAAATTGATTTGAATGATGTTTCTGATAAGAGAAATGCTAAGAATCAAGTTGGTCAATTCTTGAGAAATAACAAACCTTGTGGTGAATTATTATATGATTATGAATTTTTCCCAACTTTGGAAGAATCTACATTACCAGATGGTTCAACTGAACCACCTCCAGATTTAAATACCGGCTTAGCAAAGATTGAATTAAGTGAAGTTAGAAATATTAGAAATGATGGTAAATTATCAAGTTATACTGAATTATATTTCAATAATGAATTAGTTAAAACTACACCAGTTTCTAAGAATACTGATAATCCAACTTTCTCAATTCCTTTTGAAACCATTATTACAGATCGTCGTAAATCAAGAATTAAAGTTTTAGTTAAAGATCCAAAGGGTAAATTAATCTCTGCATCAATTCAAACATTAAATGATTTAATTGATAGAACTGAAATTGATAGTGAATGGATTCCATTTAGTAAAGGTGATGGTGAATTTAAAATTACAACAAATTATAAATCTGTTTCTTTAAGAGATGCACCAGGTGCTGGTGGTTATACCGAACCAATTGGTGTTGTTAGAGTCTTGTTGAATAAAGGTGAAGGTTTACGTAATTTAGAAAAAATTGGTAAAAGTGATCCATATGCAAGATTATTAGTTAATGGTAAAATTAGAGCAAGAACTGATTTCATTCCAGATTCATTAGATCCTGTTTGGGATGAAGCTTTATATGTTCCAGTTACTTCACCAAATCAAAAATTAACCATTGAAGTTATGGATGCAGAAAAAAATAAGAATGATCGTACTTTAGGTTCATTTAATGTTAAAACTAATGATATTATTGAAAGAGGTGAAGATGATAAATATGTTGAATTTGTTGATAAGGAATTAAGAACTGGTCGTTTAGTTCATAAAAAAGGTCCAAAAGGTACTGTTACTTATGCTTTATCATTTTATCCAATTACTCCAGTTAAGACTTTAGAAGATATTAAAGAAGAACAAGAAGCTAAAGATAAAAAAGAAGCTGAAAAATTGAAAAAAGCTGAAGAAGAAGCTAAATCTGGTAAAAAACCAGAATCTAAACCATCATCAAAAGATTCATCAGATTCAAAGAATGCTGAAGAAACTGTTGAAGAAGATGAAGATTTTAATGAAACAAATAAAATTCAATTATCATTACCGGAATTATTAACTTATAACACTGGTGTTTTCGTTTTCACAGTTTTATCCGGTGATTATAGTTCAACAAATAGTTATTTACAAGTTTTTTTGAATGGTCATGGTCATCCAGATCATGTTAGTCCAGAAGTTAAAACTAAAAAAGTTACATCACCATTTTCAGGTGATGCCTTAGTGCCAGAATTAGAATGGGCAAATGTTACATTTAGATTAGTTAAAGATGCGAAAAATAATCGTGAAGATGAATCAATTGCAGAATCAACATTACCAGTTTTAAGTTTATTGAAAAATTCATATCATGAACCACAAACTTTAACTTTAACAGGTATGGGAACAAATAAATTATTAATTCAAACTCAATGGTTACCAGTTGAAGTTTCTAAATTACCTCCAGCTGATTTAATTACAAATAGTGGTCAATTATCATTAGAAATTATCAGTGCAAATAACTTATTAAGCGCAGATTCAAATGGTAAATCAGATCCTTTCATTAAAGCTTATTTACCTCAAGAAGAAGATCCATTCTATAAAACTAAAACTATTAAGAAAACTCTTGATCCAGTTTGGAATGAAAAGACAAATTTGGAAATTACAAATAGAGTTAATACAGTTATTGATTTTAGAATTGCAGATTGGGATTTCGGTGCAGGTCAAGATGATAAATTAGGTGATGCTTATTTCGATTTAGCAGATATTGATCCAATAAATCCAGCAGAATATGATGTACCAGTTAAAGGTCCAAAAGGTGAAGATGGTGGTGTTTTACATGTTAAAACAAGTTTTAGACCTGGTTATATTGTTAAAGTTAATAGTCAAAGTACTAATATTGGTGCAGCTGGATTGAATGCAGTTGGATCAGGTATTGGTGCTGGTATTGGTGCTGGTGGTAAAGTTGTTGGAGGTGTTGCTGGAGGTGTTGGTGGTGGTTTAGGTAAAGTTAAAGGTGCCATTTTCGGTAAAAAGAAAGGTGGTGATGAATAATGACCTTTGACACCATCAGTATAAGACACTATTCCATTATTATTTGAACTTTATTCTTTGTGTTTTTTGTTTTATATTTTGTATTTTTATAAATTACTGATTTTATGTGTATTCTTAAAAAAAATATTTACGCAATTTTTTATATATGTAATTTCCGAAAACAGTAATTTGTGTTTTTTTTTTTATTGCAAAATGTGCCAAAAACGACAATTTTGCATAAATTTTCCTGCCAAATGAAATTGTACGAAATTGATCGAAAAATTCTGAAAATTATAAAAATTTAAAAAAAGTTGAACGAAATTCCCTTTTTCCTTTCTTGTTTTAATTTTAATCAAAATATAATCAATTCAATTAACAAAATGTCAAACAACGAACGTACTTTCATTGCTATTAAAGTAAGTCACAATCAAAACTATTCACAGATTACTCAATTGATACTAACAATAATTTAATTAGCCAGATGGTGTCCAAAGAGGTTTAATCAACAACATCTTAGGTAGATTTGAAAACAGAGGTTTCAAATTAGTTGGTATTAAATTAGTTACTCCAACTGAATCATTATTGAAAACTCATTATGCTGATTTAACTGAAAAACCATTTTTCCCATCATTATTATCATACATGTTATCAGGTCCAATCTTAGCTACTGTCTGGGAAGGTAAAGATGTTGTTAAACAAGGTCGTGCTATCTTAGGTGCTACTAACCCATTAAACTCTGCTCCAGGTACTATCAGAGGTGATTACGCTATTGATATGGGTAGAAACGTTTGTCATGGTTCTGATTCTGTTGAATCTGCTAACAAAGAAATTGATTTATGGTTCAAAAAAGAAGAATTAGTTGATTACAAACATTCTTTATTCGGATGGATCTATGAATAAGTTTAATACTTAACAATCAATCTTGCTTATAAATTATTAGATTCAATTATATATAGCTATATTTAAAATATTCAAAAAATTATTTAAATATTCAATTGGTTTTGCGTAGTTTGTCTTTGTCTAAGATCTGATCCTTGATCGATCTCTTCACGTTTTTCAGCGTTCACGGTTACAATTTCCCAGCCCTATGAAAAAAAAAAAAAAATCCCCAGATGGATCAACTCGGATTTTAGATTTTGACGAATCATAAAGTGACTAAGAAAAATTACGCTACAATGGGGTTGAATATGGCAATTGATAAATAAAGGGCAATTGGATTGATAGTTAGCTAGGTTATATAGAATTGAATGTAATGAACGACTGGGGTTAACAAAAGAATGAATAGCAAGTTAGTTTGAGCAATGGGGTAATTGGGAAAGCGAGATTATTAAAGAGTTATCAAACATCATGATCAATTAAAGATTCTAATCCCATTATACCACAATTTAATGAATCAATTGAAATTTTAAAACGATTTTGAAATTTATCAGTTTTATCTAAATCATTGGTAATTCTTTGATTTGATGTTAAAATTTGATTGAAAAATTGATAATTTATTGTTAAGATATTAAACTTTAATGAATAATTTGAAAAATTCATTGATTTGAATTCTGGTAATGTGAAAATTTCCTTTATGATTTTAGATAATTCAGTTAATAAATCAATCATTATTTCACATGATTCAATTAAATTTTCAGTTGTATTTATAAAAGGATCAAGTTTAATATTTTGAAATTTAATAAAACAATTATTTAAATGAACTTCTAATAAATTTGATAATTTAAAAAACAAATCTAATGAAGATTGAATTTGATTAATAATTGAAGTTGAATGAATTAATAATTTTTCCAATATATAAATAGAATCTGTTATAATGAATTTTTGAAATATTTCTAAAGTTATTAATTGATTCCCAGAAAAACAATCATTAATCATAATTGATTCTATTGATTCATTTAATTGTAAATATTTTAATGAAGATTCATTTCTTTTAATATGGAATTGAGTTATTGATAAATCATTGTTAATGAATTTTTTAATCAATGGTTGATTATCATCAATCATTTTTGTAATTTTATTTGAAAATTCAGTTATAATCATTGTATTAACACCAACAAGATATGTATCCAAATTTTCCATTCCGTCAATTATTGATTGGAAATGATCAATGACTGTTATGATGGAGGGGATAATCTTATCAATAAATAACATTAAATCATAATTATACATATCCAACATATGATTTCTATTAAGGGGTTTCAATCCATTAAATAAATCCATTTGAATGAAATTTTTAAATTCTTTTTGTAAGACATGTAAATTCATATAAAATTTATTAATTGAATCTTTAAATGAATGGAATCTATTATATAAAAGGAACTCTTCTCTTTTCTGTCTAATATATTTGATAATCTTGATTAAGGCAGTTTCTAAATGATTTAGATCCATACCATCTAACCCAGATAAAGCTTTAATTTCAATATAAAATCTAATAACTTTGAATAAAGTGATATAAGTTAATGTAAAAGAATCCAAAAATCTAATAAAACAATCAATTTTATCTTGATCATTCCTAAAGAATAGTTTTTTAACACCAATGAATGAATTTCTATTCAAACTTAACCTTTTCAAACCAGCAATAGCCATGGTGAAGCGGACCCTTTAAAACACCAAATCAATCCTAAACCCACCAAGTAAACCTAACCAAAACCCTTAGATTAACACCAAAATAACCCAAATACCAATACCTAACAATAACCAACTTAATCAACAAACAATACCACCAGATACCAATTTGCCACTAGCCGCCCTGCTTTATCAACCCCATAAAAATGAAAATCAAATGAAAAAATCAAACTCCCTTTTATTTTTATGATCCATCACAATTGAAGATCTATTAGCCGCCTTAAACAATGGAGTACCGCGAAGACGAAGCGAAGAGATAACATAAGCCATAGAGAAATAGTAAACAAACAGAAGACAACAAAGAATATGATGATTTAAATAAAGAATAAATGAATCTAGTATCAATTCAATTGTTTATTGTTGTCCATCATCTCTTAAATCTCTATCAAATATACTCGGAGTACCAAAATACCCACTGTGACGAATAAACCCAATGAAATAATCATAACTTTGTTCTCCAAATGCTAAATATCTGGAAATATATTTCTTTAAATCAGATCCTTGATACAAAAGACTGGATTATAAGTTAGTACATCATTATCTATATTCTATTCTCAATCAATACCCACACTAATCCTGTGTTTCTTCTGATTCCTGCTAAAAGCATTGATACTAGTAACAAATCAATTGAATAATGAATCAATTTACCAAACTGATATGCTTGTTAGTACTATATACTAAACAAGATACGCTCTAGAACATACACTCATCTTGAACAACTATAAACTTCAACTTCCACTGTGTAATAACTCTTTTCACTTCTGAAACAACTTCCTGTATTTCAAATGTTTTTGGTTCATTTCATTTCATTAAACATTCTTTGATTTTTGGTTTATATCCGGTGCTGTGATTTACCATACAAACAACGGAATTATTACTAGCCACTGTGTAAATACTGGAACCAGAACTTGTATAAACAATGAAATATTATTAGTAAATGCAATCCAATATACCAAATCATTATCAGAACATCAGAATATCAGAATATCAATACCAAATAAAGAACACATATCACCACAATGAGTGTCAAATTAAATCACGACTCATACATAAAACTCAAACCATCCAAAAAATTCGAACCAACAAATCCAGAAACTTGTATAACATCATTAGATTTTGATGATTCAGGTCAATATTTAATTTCTTCATTAACAAGTGAATCAATAAATCTTTATGATGCTTATAGAGGTACTTATAACAAACCAATATATTCTAAGAAATATGGATGTCATTTAGCAAGATTTACTCATCAACAGAAAAATTGTGTTTATGCTTCAACAAAAGAAGATAATACTATAAGATATCTTTCATTAAATGATAATTCTTATATAAGATATTTTAAAGGTCATAAAGCTCTTGTGAATTCACTTGAAGTAAGTCCAAGACAAAATATATTTGCTTCTGCTTCATTAGATGATACGTTCAAAATATGGGATTTAAGAACTTCAACTGCTCAATTTTCTTTACCTTCAAAACATTCAAGTTTTGTTTCATTTGATCCAACAGGTGATGTTGTTGCAATAGCATCACAATCTCGTGGGATAATTGATTTAAAACCAATAGAAATGTTACATCAATTACCTTGTGCTTCATTTGAAGTACCTCAAGGTTTTAATTTTAATAAAGTGGAATTTTCAAATGATAATAGATATATACTTGTTTGTTCAACAAATCAAAATCATTTATTATTAGATTCTTTTGATGGGAATTTAGTTTGTGAATTAGGACCCATTATATCTATCCCAGGTAGATCATTCCCAGACACGGGGAATGCTACATTTTCACCATGTGGGAATTTTGTATTTAGTGGTAATGGTGATGGGAAAATTGCAGTATGGGATTTAACTAAAAAATCTGAAATTAATGATTCATTACCAAAATTTTTAACACCAAAATTTACACTTACAGGTGATGTTAAACCAAGGATGTTAAGTTTTAATCCAAAATATTTACAATTAATTACTGCAGATTCTCAATTAACAATGTGGACACCAGAATTAGATTAATTAACAACTATACACAATATAGCTATAAAATATCATCAAGATTAGGATAAATTAATTCACAATTCTCTTCATTCCATTCAACCCAATCATGTAAAAATTTACAACCTTGATTAATTGTTTCCATATCACCAACTATACATAATTGTCTTTTTGGTCTTGTAATGGCAACATTTAATCTTTTTTCATCTTTTAAAAATCCAACATCTTTATTTAAATTACTTCTAACTAAAGTTAATATTATAACTTCTTTTTCACGACCTTGGAAACCATCAACTGTTGATATTTCCACACGAGGCCAATCATTATGTATCAATTTTTTTAAAAATGAAACTTGTGCATTATATGGTGATATAATACCAATATGTTCTTCCTTAACACCAGATTTCAACAAATGCTTTAAATGAAATTTAACAACATATGCTTCCATATCATTAAATTTTGATGGAATTAAATCATTATGATCTGAACTATCCTTTTCAGGGAAATCCCCTTGGGTATCATACCAAATTATTGGGAATTCTGTATAATCATTTTTTTCAACTTCAGGGAAATCTGTTAATAAAATATTTGAAACTGATTCATCAGCTTTTAATTCACCTCCATAAAGAACTTTGGAGGAAAATTTCATTATAGATTCATTCATTCTATATTGAATATTTAATAAATTTTTAAAAGAATCTCCATATATGGAAACTAATCTATCAAATATTGTTGTTGATAATATCCTTTCCACTGATGGATTATTATCTATTTTAATAGTTGGTGATAATTGTTTATTATCACCTGCAAGGACTAATTTCTTAACATTTGATCCATAATGATTTATCAAAGGAATCCAACATTGTGGTTCTAAAGATTGAGAAACTTCATCAATAATTATTGTATCAAAAAGTTTTAACCCAGGTTGATGATTATATATTGATAATAAATCTCTTGAACTTGATCCATGTAATGTTGCCATTATAACTTTTGCTTTTAATATAACTTCATGAGTAACTGTTTTTTCTCTTTTTTTCAATTCTTTTCTTAATTCTTTAACTTCTTGCCATATAGATTTCTTTTCTTTATAACTTCTTGTTTTTTTAATTTTTTTAATAGTATCATCAATCTCTTTTTTAATATCTGCAATCAATTGTCCAGAATCACTTGTATTAGTGACAATATCTAAACAATGTTGTAAATTTGAATTTAATAATCTTGCAGGATGACCAATTCTTAATAATTCATCACCTGGTAATTTACCATTTAATCTTTCTAATATAGTATCAACTGATATATTTGATGGACCACAAACTAGGACACGTTCACCTTTGGATACTAGTTGTAAAATGAGTTCTATTAAAGTATAAGTTTTACCCGTACCTGGTGGACCATGGATTATACTTATAGGTGAATTTAGTGAGAAATTTATAGCGTTTTTTTGGGATTGATTTAAGCCATCATTAAAGAATTTGATTTGTTCATAACTTGATTCTAGTTTTCCAGCAGAAGGTGGTGTATAGCTTGTTTCATTTAATAAAATTTGTAATAACTCATTAGGAGTTTCAAGTTCAGATAATTTCCTCATTGTTGATTCCATTCTTTTATAAGTTATTGAATTTGAAATTTTAACAATCCATAAATTATCATTAATTATATTCAAGATTTTCTCTTCAGATGATTCATCAACTGTTATTACAATTGAACTATTTGAAAGTCTTGTAACAACACCTTCACAACCAAAATTGGAATCTGAATCATCATTATTTTTACCATTTGATTTAACCTTCTTCTTTGTTGAATTCGAGCTTGACATCTTATCAATTTTCACAATATCACCAGTCCTTATATCACCAGCAACTATTGAATCATCTTCATGACCACCTAAATCATTTTTCAATTCAATTATAGTACGACCTCCAAGACCTGTTTTAATACTTTCAGTTGTCAAGTTTATGATTGCCAAACCTTTTAAAGCTAATTTCTTTGGTGGTAAACTGTTTAATAAATCTGAAGTTTGATCTATATCTGCGTTTCTTTCTAGATCAATACATTTTAGAAATTTCTCTGATAATTTCTTGTTAGACATTCTTTGTGGTTATCTTGTGATCTTTCGATAGTATAAAAATTGTTTACAATTCGAAACATTAAAAGTGCGAAATGGTACTTTTAAACCTTTGATCATTTGAGGATTTCATTGAAAAACTCGAAAAAGTGAAATAGTACCACCAACCAAGAAATTAAAGCTCATAAAAGCTTCATTTCATTACGCACCTAAGAAGCTATATATCCAACAGATTCCTTGCCTCAAATAATCATTTCTATTCAGAACATTAATATGGGTTGCAATATTTTATAAGTGTTTAATATTCGCGAATTCAAAACCCATATCTACAATTCTTTCAATATTTATAATAATTTGTATATATCTAATTCATAATCAATATGTAATCATAACATTTTGTGTTTGAAAGTTTTCTTTGTAAAATTTTGGATATAATGTATGCAAATTTTGTTTGTTTTAAAATTAAAATAATTGATGATAAAAATCTCAATTACTCTACATAACATTAAGATCACCAAATTTTTCTTTATAACCTGGTGCAGACCATTTACCTTTAGAAACCAATAAGTTAACTTTGTCATCAATATCTGGTCTAACTTTAACAATATCATCAACAGTTAATTGATCAAATGGTCTAGCAGCATCAATGTTAGCTAAAGTTTTTTGTAAATCAGCCAATTCTTTAGCAACAACTTCTTCAGTAGCAGTAGCATTTTCAACAGCTTTAGCTTCGAAAGCATCAATTGATTTTAATTGTTTAGCAACATCTAAAGTAACTGGTTTATAAGAGTTGAAATGTTTTTCAATTTCTTCAACAACAGCAGAGTTGTTTAAAACAGATTTATAATGAGCAAAATCAACTTCAGTTGGTTGATTTTTCAATTCAACAATGTTTCGACGAGCTTCATCGTTTCTCTTTTTGAAAGCAGTTAATGAAGCAGCAGTTTGACCTGTTAAACCAAGTTTTGAAACAACTTTAGTCCAATCTAATTTTGAAGCAGCAGAAGCACGCTAAAATATTTGTTAGTATTATTGATACATCAAGTCAATTGGAGAGGATTGTCTTAAACAGATGGAAAGCTGGATCTTGTGTGTTTTAGAGATCAATTGGAAAAGTTAATGATTTCAAATGAAAATTAATTGATAAAATTCTTTATGGGTGTCAATATGAAATCAATAATTATCAAATAATTTCAAGGAAAAACCAATATTAATCAATCAATCAAATTGAAACTAGTCTGAAAACACTACTCAACACTTTCCTCCCCCTTCAAATCATACAATTCTTCATCAATTCCATTTTTCAATATTTCATAACAAGACCGGTCATAAACACCCCCATCAACACAACCCAATTGAACTCATCAACCACACAAACAACTGTCCTATTCCAATGATCTCCTTCTCTTCTCTGCCTGACACAACACTTACTAAAGCAGACATCTTATGAATATTGAATATAAATGAGTAACTAATTGTACACACCTTTTAAAGGTTTATATTAGTATCCCTTTTCCCAACGATGTTTTTTGCAATGGTGTTTTTTCATTGGCGAGGAATTCGCGACCAACCATTCATTTCCGCGAATTGGAAAACTAATTCATAGAACCAATTCGCGTATTGCATAATCCGTGCACCACTGCTTTCATATTTGTACACCCATACACCATTCGGAGTTGGTGATTACATCATCAATATCAGCGGAAACCCAATCCCTTCCGCGACTTTTCTTAAAAGTTATGATTCATTATACTACTGATTTATAAATATACTGGAGCTGATAAAGATATTAAAGGTATTGTCATAGGTTCTCTACTAGGTGTTTCTTGCTTTAGGACTATAAGGATGTCTGGGAATATTGAGGAGGTCCAACCAGAGACTGGACAGTCAGGTGCTAAGCAGAAGAGAAGATCCAATATCGCGTGAGTATTAAATGTGAATGGTATTAAATTGCATAACCGTTGAATGAAGAATAACGGTTTTCATAGGTTGAAGAGATTACATATATATACTAACACTTTACTATAGTTGTGTTAGATGTCGTCGTCGCCATATCAAATGTCCTGGTGGTGAACCTTGTGCCAAATGTATTCAGTCTAAATCTGCTTGTGAATATGTTGAAGCTGATAAAAAAGTTGTTGTATCAATGAAATATTTACAAAAATTACATGATGATGTTTCAAGATTGAAAAAGGAAAATACTAATCTAAAATCATCAATTAAACAATATAAAAATAAATCAAATAATAGTGCTGATGGTGGATCTATCGGTAATATAACTTCTGATAATGAAATAACTCCAACAAGTTCAACAACTTTAGATAATTTATTTGAATCTTCAGATGTTGATACTATTTTATCTGCAACCTTTTCAAATAATACAGCTTCAAATCATCCATCTCAACAAGCAAATACTACTTCTAACAATAATGATCAACAAACATCAGATCATCATGATGAAGTTGTTGCACCATTTGTTGATCAACAACGTCAATTAGTTTATTCAAGAACTGGTGAAAAATTTTATGTCGGTTCTTCATCAATGACGCTATTTGGTATTCAAGTTCAAAATATGTTATCAGAAAATGGAGATCAAGATCTTATAAATGCACCAAATGCACAAAATTTAAGTAATACTGAAACTGTCTTAGAGAGAGAAGGTAATGCTTATAGAATCATGTTGGGTAAGACTAAAACAAGACCTGGTATCTCTGTTAATTTTACATTACCTTCATACTCATATGCAATGTTATTAGTTGATTCTTTTATTCAATATAATGATGGATGTTTTTATTTTTTCAATGAAGGTTTAGTTAAAGAAAATTTAAGAAGAGTTTATGAAGGTTTAGGTACAGATTCTTCAGATTCAATTATTGAAACTATTTGGTTTTGTAAAGTTTTATTAATCTTTTCCGTGGGTGAAATGTACTTGGGTACTGCAAATAATATTGATGGTAAAAAATCTGCAGATGCAAAATTACCAGGTTCTGGATTTTTCCATCAAGCTTCTGAATTATTTACTGGGTTATTCGCATCAGGTGCTATAGATAATTGTGCAAGAGAAGGTGGTATTGAAGTATTATTGTTATATGCCTTTTATTTACAAGTTGCCGATTGTACAGTGGCTTCATATTTTTATTTTGGTCTAGCTTTAAGAGCTTCTTTAATTCTAGGGATGCATGTTGATGCTGATAAAAGTAATGTTTCTCGTTATGAATTAGAACATAGAAGAAGATTATGGTGGACTGTCTATATGTATGAGAGAATGTTAAGTTCTAAAGCTGGTTTACCATTATCTTTAAATGATAATAGTATTGCAACTGAATTGCCTGATGATTTTGATATGTTTAATCCTCCACAAGGTTGTGAGCATTATATTTTCCCTGAAGCTGAATATATTACCAATTGTATCAAAATTACTCAGATTAATGCTAAAATTTTATCATGTTTATATCAAAAACAACCAAATAAAAATATTTTACCAGTTTTAGCAGAATTAGTTGGTCAATTAATAGAGTTTAGAGAACATCTACCAGAATTTTTGAACCCAGATTTCACTTCAAAAGATTTACAAATTTCAAGATTGGCAACGAATATTCTTACTGAATTTTTTCAAGGTATGAATTTAGCAGTTAGACCATTATTATTTCATTTTGCTTCAAAACAATTGAAAATCAATAAAACTTCAAATAAATATATTGATTTAAATGATTATTCAAAGTCAATCATAACTTTATTTAATTCTTCATTCCAAGCTTCAATAAATACCATAAGATCCCTTTGGGCTTTAATGCCAGAAAATATGGTTGCATTATTTGGTTATTTAGATCGTGAATATTTATTTACATCGTCTGCAACATTAATTTTATTCAATGCAGCATTTGGTGTTCATCAAGCAACTTATGAACATTTAGATCATGCTTTACAAATATTCACCAAGATGAGAAATTTAGGTAATCATCCATCTGCATTAAGAAGAGCTCAATTATTAAAATTAATGTCAACTTTAGATTTTAATAAAATTATGCAACCATTAATCTTGAAACATACTGATAATTTCCAACCAACTCAATTTTCAAATACACCAGTTCCATCATCATCTAATTCTATGAATCATAATTCAAACTTAGATGGTATTCCATCATCTTATAATCATTCCAACCTAAGAAAAGATCATTCAATTTCTAATTCTCCTGTTCAACATTCAACATCAGCAATACGACAAGGAGATTCAGGTCAAAAAAGATTAAAAATTGATAATATGATTGATTCTAAAAAATTAAGTAAAAATGTTGATAATGAACCTGTTTTACATGATGCTGAGGGCAAAGTTTCTTTAGATGCTATTCATATGTTACAACATGGTACTGTTACAGAAAATGAAAATGAATTATGGAAGGAAATTTCAAATGAAGCAATGTGGTTAGGTCCAATTGGTGAAGTTTCTGAAGAGTTTCAATCATTGATGGATGATTTTAATTGAATTTAAATATTCTTTTTAAACATGTAAATATTCTATATATTGTCCGGTTATTACTGTTTTTTGATATTCAATTTTGTTTTCTAATGTACATTATAAGTGTTATATATATTACGTTGTTTTCAAATGCTATATGTAGTATGCAATTATGATTTTTTCAATTAATCATTCTTCAGTATGAAGTCTCTTGTTGAAATTCGATAAGTCACCATTAGCCCAGTCTGCGATTCTTTTTTTACCTTGACCAATAATGGAATATCTAACACCCAATTCTTTTAAATTTAATAATTCTTGTTCATTGGTTAATTTACCTTGTGCACTGGTTAATATCTTACCATCGACGCTTTTTTCAGAAATTTGTTGTTCTAAAAATGATAATCCACCATAACGAGAAATTAAAATATCTGCACCATCTTCAATGTTTTGAACTTGTTTAATAAAATCATTAATCAAAAATTTTAATTGAACTGATGTATATGGTGAAGTTTCTAAATTTAAAAACCATTCATATATATTCTTAGATCTTAATAATCTTGTATCATCTTTATTCTTAATACCATTGTTAATACCTTCTAATAACCAACTAACTTGTTTATAATAATTATTAGAATCATCATTTGTAGCTGAGACAACAGTTATATCATTAAATAATGGAATCTCATTTTTTCTTAAAGTTGGTGATTTTAAAACCCATCTGAATGCCTTTTCATATAACATATGACCTGGATTTACTAACAATGTGGAAATTTTAGAAATCATTGAGAAAACTAATGGTGAAAATGCCTTTGTTGTAACCTTTTCACCACTTTCTTCATCAACTTTCTTGAAAGTGAATAAGATCTTTGATAAAAATAATTCAAAAATATGTTTATCTTTGAAAGTTGAATTTTCTTTCAATGAACTTAATATGGTGGTTAAAATACCAATTGTAACATTAACTAAAACTTCATTTTCAGATGATAAATTCATTAATAAAAATGGGAACAAATCTGATTCTATAAGTGTTCTCATGTCAACTTTTGGTAATGCATCAGGTTCTTCTGTATTCACATTTATCAATTCATCATCATTTATTATTAAAAGTGATAAAAATAATGGATCATATGTCTTTGATGATGAAGATGATGAGCTAACAGATTCATAAAATGAATTCAACTTCTCCCAGTTTGAAGACCCACTTGAACTTAATGAAGGAATTTCAGCATGTGATATAGTATAATCTTTAATTGTATTTGTGATTTGTCTTTTACTTAAAGTAATAATGAAACCCTCTTTTTTCTTTTCTAACAATTTGGTTTCACCAACTAATTCAGATTCTTCTTCAGATAATGTGTCTAGAACTTCCCAAGTGAAAACTGTGTCAATCCAAGATGAATTCAATCTTGTTTCAATTCTTTCCAAAATTCTATATAATAAAAGATCATCAGCATTTGGTGTACCTCTATAAAATGTTAAGAATTTTTCTTGTAAAGCAATAGTAGAGTTTTTAGAGACATCGAATTCAAATAATCTCCAGATTATCAATGAAGTTAAAAATCTAGATCTTTGTGATGATTTTTTAGATAATGCATTATCATCATTGAATGCAATTATTTGTAATAATTTGTTGGTATCTAGTGAATTTTTATGTGAAACTGAGGTGACTATAGCTGATAATTCTAATGCTGATTCATCAGTTGACCATTTTGTAAAAATGACTTCCAATAATGTATTCAAATTCGACTTGTTCGTTGATTGTATCAAGTTTGATTTTAATAATAATGATTTATAACTTTCAATAAAGCTACTGAAAGAGTCTGGTAATTCGTTCAACTCTGCAAAACCTTTAGTGATGTATAAAGAAGCTTTATTAGCCCAAGTTTTGATAATAGTATCATCAAATGAGCCAAATGCTTGAACCGCTTTAGCAACTTCTGAAGTATATTTTTGGTTGTTTTTAGTTAAAGAATATTCTATCACTATACCTTTTTCTTCTGATGATAATTGTAAAGATGGATGATTCAATATTTGAAGATAGCTATCAAATGAAACCACGCTGAAGTCTTCGTTCTTTATATTTTCAATGGCAAAAGTTTTAGCAGTATTGACTAATTCGGACACTAAAGATTCATCAGATAAGCTTGCTAAAACTTCTTCTGAAAGTGATGAAAAGACAATAGAGATTATAGCAGCATTTGATTCTTTTTGAATATAAGCTAAAAGTTGGTCAATTATTTTTCCATCTTTGGCTAAACTTCCAAAAACTTTTAATAAACTGGTATTTGATGAAATAACGTTCAATAATGACTCAACATCATCATACTCAACTTGACTTTTCAAAATAAAATCATTGGCAAATCCAGATAAATGATCATCACGTAAGAATCCGGCAATCAATGATGACTTGATGGCAGCTCTTCTTGATAATAATAGCGATAGTGCTTCAGATTTGACCAAATCTGAACCGTTCTTCACGACTTGAAGTAATTGATCGTTGTTCAGAGCCCAAAGTGAAGCAGCAATAACTGAATCATCATTACCTTCAGTTAATTGATTCAAAGTTATATCTTGGAAATCACGAGTATTGAAATTTGGCAATTGAGAAAAGATTTCAGCCAAAGTACTAGAAATGAATGATTTCTTTTCATTAGATGATTTTTCAGTGAATAATGAAGCCCAGTATTTTGATTTGGAAAATTCAATAACTTCATCTGAATTACCAAAAAGGTAATTACCAATCTTTGTTAAAATTTCCACGATACTTTGTTTCAAACCATTGTTGTAGTTCAACTGATCATCAGCAAAAATTTGATTCAATCTAAATAAAGAAGCAACAATATCCAAGTGGGAAGTAGGAATTTTGGAAATATTTTGTAATTTATTAGTTGAAGCAGATGTAATAAGTGTGAAATATGAATAATCCTCGTATCCATGAAGTGGATTTTCTTTTGAAAATGATGGTTGAGCTGATAAGGGTAAATATTCTGATGCATCACCAGATATTTCAATGGTGCTTAAAAGTTTGGAAATCGCACTTGAAGATTCTCCAGCAATGATAATATACCTTAAAAATATCAAAAACCATTTAGATGTAAGATCATAAGGTGTAGTTTTATCAACAAATTTCCATTGTTCAAATAACGTCATGACTAACGGACTAACACGGTCATTTTCATTTGAAGAGTCCAAGTATTTAAATGGTGATCTAACACATCTGGAAATGGATTCATCTAATAACTTCCAAACTTTCACCAATTCATCATTTGATGACCCATCTGAAGTTTGTACCACTCTTAATGAAGCAACTAATAGTTGAGTTTGATCAGCATTAGCAGATTCTTTATCAAAAATGACAGTTTGATTAACAAGATTACTTAATAATGTGGTGATTTTTGATGATAATGAAGATGTTGAAGATTCATTTGATGATGCAATTTTCAATAATGAAGTGAATAAAGAAGTTGATTTATCAGTTTTATTCCACCATTTAACTTGTGAATTTTCACCTTCTTGGAGTTGGAAGAAATTATCTAATAAAACAAAATCAATACCTGTTAGTTGTGATTGATTGATGATATCAGAATAAGGTTTGGAAATTTGTTGAGATAAGTTATAATTATCAGATAATGTCTTGATATAACCATTAATTATAGTTAAAAAGATCAATAACAACAGCTTGTTGTCACTCTTTTTGGTGTATGTATCAGTGAATGTAGTAACAATTGTTGAAATTTCTGGTAAACTTAATTTGATTTTGGAAATTAATTGAGATGAATGTTCATTCCATCCCTTTAAGCGATAAAGATTCAAAAATTTCTCCAATTTCTGCAATGAAGTAACAATAAGTTGGGCTGATAAATGTCTAATCATAAATGAGTCTGATGTAACACATCTTGACAAAACAGCTCTATTCAACACGGATGGAACAATCAATTCTGAAATAACTTCAACAGATGGTGCAGTTGTATTTGCTTCATCTGAGATATCAGTTGGGATACCAGTGTTTATCAATTTACTCAATAATAATGTTTGACCTAACCAGTATGATGATAATTTTGGGTCATGAAGACCTCTTGAAGCCAAATAGTTGACAAAAGGTGGTATTAGTTCTGGTGTATGTTTCAATATCTCAACAGTTGTGTTTAGTTGCAAATCATCATCCCATGGTTTCATACTTGTAATTAAAGAGTATAGTAATTTATTATGAGTCTTGAAACTTTTACCATTAACTGAAATAGTACCATTTGAAGTGTTGTTCAAAAACCATGTTTCATCATCATTAAATTTCAAACCATATTTGGTATCTGTAGCAATGGAAATAATAAATTTATCAAACATTGATTTCAATTCTTTATCCTTTGTATAGTAAATTGGTATAAGTTTAGTGATATTCCAATCGTTGAAAACCTTTATCTTTGTAGCTTTCTTGAAACTTTGTTCCTTGATAATCTTTTCATCCCAAGTAGTTAATGTAAGAGTTATCAAACTATTACTATCAATCACACAGATATATTTGAACCAATTCACTAGTAATTTATGATTATTTGAAAGGAACTCTTTTCTCAAAAATGGAGCAGAATGCTTAATTATGTTTAGTAGCAACCTTATCATACAATATCTTATAGATAAGAATTCTTTTTCCTTTGTAACTTCAACGTCAGATAATTCTGTCTTTGTTGGATTTAATAATTTTGGTAAAACTGGTAAACTGAAATCAAACAATGCAACAAAATCATCTAACAATGCACCATTCCTAAAAATAACAATTTCATTTATAAGTCTCAATACTGGATTAGTTAAAGAAGCTCTCATACTAGTCAAACCTCTATAAATAGTTTTAATATAACTTGTCAATATTTCTTTAATTATTTGAACACCATTTTCATGAAATTCATGATTCCCGCTTAATAAACTCAAAAGTTTTGTGATTGTAATTGTTGAGCTTGTAAATTTCTTGTGATCATTAACTTGTGCATAATATGACCAACTACTGATAGCTTGGTTCCCAAATCCTTTAGCAAAGAATTCAGATATTTGATCAGTAGAATCATCCTTCAAGATGGCATTAATCTTGTCGAAAACACCATTATCAACCGACGCTGCAGCTCCATTTGCTGGAGGGACCCATTTCTTCTTCTGGTGAGTCTTGTTATCCGACATCTTTCTTAATCTTTGTAAGATGAGAATACTGCTTCAAAAAAACCAAAGAATTCATGTTACCATTATAATAATATTTGTTTATGCATATAAAAAAAATTTACCAATGGATTACATAAGCGATGGGCTTCAGAAGGATTTCGCGAATTTCTATCTATATTATACAATTTTAACTCAATTTTATTACTAATTCATCATAGCTAAAACGATCCTATATATAGTTGTTGGTGTTAATTTGGAAGTGTTTTGGGGGTCTAGCATATGCAATACAACCTATGGCTATACATTCACTACAAATCTGGTTTATCAAAAGAAAGTTTTCGCATATAACAATTTCTAATATTCACTTATATGAAAGCTGGTCAATTTGCCCATTAATTACTTTCCTATGGTGACTTCTATTTCGATTGATCAGAAACTTGAGTTCTTCCATCTCTAGTCTGTTTTCTTCAACTTCTTTATTATATTGTTCAGTGGCAGTTAATGGGCGATGTTTTTCCACGATTTGATGCTCGTTTTGGTCATCGGTTGTAATATCTTTAGCTCTGGACATGGATCTTGAAGTTCGTCTGCTAATGGCTTTTGTTGAAGGTCTTGAAGGTTCATAATATGTTTGTAAAAATGAAGAAATCCTTTGACTATTTGTATTCTCATTATCCACACTGGCAAAATTTGCAACTATGTTATGTTGTATTGGAGAACCTGAACCTGAACCTGATAAAGGTTTAGATGTTAAATCACCACTATCGGCTATTGAAATATCAACTCTTGTAGAACCACTTAAATCTTCGTCATTTTCAATTTTATTTTTTAATTCCACAGCATCAAGAGTTTTTGAATAAAGTTTATCAAATAATTCTAAACCATGATCATTCTGCATAATTGTTGTTGAAGAATCTGAGCTGAATGGATCTTCATTGAGTGTATCCTCATTAGAGACTGGTTCAAATTTGGATTCCTGTGTTTTAGAACTTCTTTGACTAATCCTTCTAGATGGATTACGTCTAGTTTTTGTAAACTCATCTTCATTTTCTAATCTCAAAGTGTCAAAGTTGGATTCAGACGGTATCCTCTTAGATCTTGCACTGAACTTTCTGGAAATTCTTCTTCTGATAGAAGGTTCTTCTTCTTGATCATTATCATTTTGGGCATTATCGATAACATCATTTGGATTCTTTTCGATGATTGGATCAGCTACTTTAATTGATTTGGATCTTCTGAAAGCATCAAAGATGCTTGCTCTTCTTGAAACATGAGTAATTTCATCCTTATCTGGATCATCATCAATTAAATCATCTGTGTCTTCAAACACATTATGTTCTTCCCTATACCTTTTGGCTATATCGTACGGGTTAAAATATTCTGGTTGTGATCCATCATCTTTTGCAATAGAACTAGACTTTGGTGATTTTCTCAGAGGACTCAAGGAATGTAACAGTTTAGAAACTTTTTGATGAATAGTCAGTGGTTCATTCGTGGTGAATTCTAGTGGAAGATTATCCAAATCATCCATAAGTCTATCATATCCTTCGCCACTAGGCGTCATGTACCTTTGAGTTAATGTTTCCTTAACATCATAGACAGAAGAGGTATTAGCAGCTTGTTCAACTTCTTCGTCTTCGTCGCCTTCTTCTTCTTCAGCATCTAGTTCCTTGTCTCTTCGAAAAAAGTATCTGATAGTTGATCTTCTACTACCAAATTTATTTGAATTGGTTCTTAAGCTTCTTGAATTTTGATTTTTATTTCTTCTGGATCTCCAGGTCAATCTAGTTGATTTTAGTGGCTTTAAATCCTCCCCATTGACTAGATTCAAATCTAAAATAGAAGATTCATCAGAGTGTAACTCTCTTTCAATCACTCTAACATTGCTATAAGGTTCTACCTGTTGATTTATTATCAATGGATCCCTTCTAGTTCCTTCCTCCTCTGGGTCCACCTCTGTGGTTTTCTTGAATAACTTTGTAAAAAAACTATGTCTCTTAGATCTTACTCTATGTACGCTTGGTGCTTTATCAGTTGTAGTGGTCTCTATCTTATTATTTGAAAAATGTTCATCAAATCCAGAATTGATATATGGTTCTTTAGCTGATGGTAGTCTCAGAGCTTTACCAACATAATTATCCTCATAAGTATTTTCAGATACTTCATCATGTATCTTTGATGGTTTAAAGAACCCCATATTGATAATTCAATTTAATTTGATTGTAGTTTCAGCTGTATAATCTTGTGGTAATAAATCAGCTACTCTATTGGAAAAATAGCAGTTATAAAATTCGAATAGCTAGTAATGTATAAAATAATCAAATTGTAAATGAATGTAAGTAGCTAAAAGTATCAAGAAAAGAATGAGCAGCTCCAGCCCTTAAAATAAGTCAGCTTCACCATAAACATTAGAACCAAAAAAAACTCTCCAAAAATCACTCATATCCAAAATTTCCTTTTAAATCCATCCTAAATTTCTGCGTTGTTTTCTGTTTATTTTCAGTTTTGTGGTACGTGAATTAAGTTATCTTCTCAAAAAATTAACTTGACGCCTTTTTGAAATGTAAACAAACCGTGTTAAAATGACAGCATAATAGAAATTTTTCGCGTTTCCATTATTTCAATTATGTCATTTTAGCAGAATCAAATCTTTGAAGTTTACTTGGAAAGAGTGAATGGCCTAGACTTGAAGATGGCAACTCTAGAGAAACGTACTGTACTGGAACTCAAGAGGCTTTGTACTAATTGTGGTATCCGTAAGTGTGTGGGAAATTTAAAGATTATACTGACCTTGAGTCTAACACGAAAACTTCACTATAGATATCACTGCTGCAAGGAAATGTGATTTGATATCAGCAATTAATACCAGCTTTCAAGATAAATCTATATTTCAGAGAGTACCCATCAATAAGAAAAATTTCAACATTATCTCAATCGATATGGGTATTAGAAACTTTTCTTATGCTAGACTTCAATTAGATAAAACATTACCTTTAAATAGACCACCAATCATCAAAGAATGGACAAAGTTTGACGTTAATAATTGGGCTGATGTATCTCGGGATGCAAGTTATGAACCAACAAGATATGCACATATAAGTCATAGAATCATAAATGAAATTATATTTGATTCTAATTATGGTTCACCAGATTTAATATTAATTGAAAGACAACGTATACGGTCTGGAAAAAGTAAAAACGTCTTAGAATGGGTGTTCAGGGTCAACATGTTTGAAAGTATGTTACATGCATTAATATATTCAAAGACACAGACCGAGAAGCTAGTAAGTGATACAATGATCATCCCATCAAGTCCTTTGAAGATGGGTAAATTTTGGGAACCTTCAAGTGATGGAAAATTAAAGAATAAAGATTCAAAGAAGTTCAGATTAATCTTAGTGGAAAATTGGTTAAAGAACTATGTTAATGGCCCGTCACCAGATATTCCTTTTGCAATTTCACCAGGATTGATAGACTTCAAAGAACTCAACGCCACTAAATCTAAAACTAAATGGCTTTTCCAAACCATCATGAAGAACTCAAGGTTTAATATTGAACCTAAAGATCCACAAGCTGCCAAAGATGTTCAAAAAGGTGATGATTTGACTGATTCTCTTTTACACTCATTAGCCTGGCTGAAATGGGAGAAACAGAAAATGATACTAAAGATGGAATTCAGAGAATCAGTAGAAGCAGCTATGAAGACTAGTGAAGATATGTATGAGTCTCATGTGAAAGAGATGGATCGTATATTAAAGAAATCTGAAATCAAGCCTGAGATTGCGGATAAACCAAAGAAAAAGCCTAGAAAAACTAAAACTAGGAAATCCAGTACTGAAAAAACGGATTAAACTATTTAATTAACACAATATTATCAAGCTTTCCCTAAAAGCCTCCTCTTCTGTTCATGTTGTAGCACAAGTTTATCTATTTCATCAAAATTCGCGAACCTTTTTCTTATACTAGATCCGAAATTTGTGGACACCAAAACAACAATTCTATGACACGAACAGGCTTCAATCAGTACAAATCCCCAATTACACAAAGATAAAATGAATCTTAGATTGCAATTAGCTCAAGTGTTGAACCTCTTCTATGTGGTGACCTCGGCCTACATGTTCTGGAAGGGTCTTTCAGTCGTTACAAACTCATCATCTCCAATCGTGGTAGTTTTATCAGGTTCTATGGAACCAGCTTTCCAAAGAGGTGATATTTTATTCTTATGGAATAGAGATGAACAAGCTAAAGTTGGTGATATTGTTGTTTATGAAATAAATGGTAAATCTATACCTATTGTCCATAGAGTCTTGAGAGAACATCATAAGTAAGTTGAATTAGGCTTAAAATAACCATTTTAAAAGACATGATACTAACATTAATGATTCCTTAGTGATAAAAAACAATTACTATTAACCAAAGGTGATAATAATCCTGTGGATGACTTAGGATTATATGCTTATAATCAAAACTACTTGAACAAACAAAAGGATATCGTCGGTACTGTTAAAGGGTATTTCCCAACTGTTGGTTATATTACAATCTTATTAACAGAAAATCAATACTTCAAATATGGTATTCTAGGGTTAATGGCAGTGTCTTCGTTGTTGTCAAAGGAATAATGATATTTTAGCTACAATATTTAATGAATATAAATAAAATTTATGACCAAATTTGTAAGCCATTCTCTATATTTAAGCAAATGATCTAAACAAGTAGTATCAATAATCTAATTCTTCCACCGGTGGCTTTGGAGACAATGCTCTTTTCTTTGATTTTTGTTCTTCTCTTGCCTTTGAAGCTTCTTCAATAATTCTCTTCAATTCACGTTCTTTATTAGCTTCAAGTTCAATTTTTTTCTCTTTCAATCTTGTTATAAATTTTTCAAATGCAATTAATCTTGTTCTATCGTCTGGTAGTTCCAAATATTCAGGTTCTTTTTCAATTTTTGGTTTAATATCTTCCCACTTAGTTTCGATTGTAATTTTTGGATTATCAAATTTTCTTAAAAATGATCTAAAATCTTCTTGTAATCTTCTAATTTTACGTTCGTATGCAAATTTATCTTTTTCTTTTTGTTCTTTGATCTGTTGTAAGATTCTATCATAAATTAATTCAATTGTATCTTCATCATAATCTTTAGTTTGTTCATCTTTTTGTAAAATTTTGATTAATTCTGATTTTTGTTTAGCTAAATCAACATCATCTTTAACAACAAAATCATTATGAAGTAATAGTTGTTCCACGATATCTTTCTTAGCTCTGACTAACAATTCTTCTTCATCAATAACATCCCAGAATAATTCAATTGGATTCGAACCCATTCTTCCTAATAACCCAATAAATCTATCATCTTCTTTAATTAAAGAAAAAACATCACTCCATTTAGTATCAGCTCTTAATAGACCAGTTTCTTTCAATTCCGCTAATAATGCTTTATATTCGTCACGAGCTTTTCTGTCATGTCTATAATTTTCCTTGGAAATGTTTTGAATTCTTTCTTGTTGATTTGTTTGTAAACTATTTATGTTCTCTAAATAAATATTTATAAGATCTAATTGATTTAATACTTCAAAATGTTTATTTTGTTTGAATCTTGTATCAGATTTAATAGAATTGTGAGTTGATTCCCAAGTTGAACTTAAATTTAGATTCATGGTCTTGAAATATTCATTTAATTCTAATAAAGCTTGATCTCTTAACTTTTTGTTGGCTTCTTCATGTTCTCTTCGTAGTCCATCAACGAAATCTTGGAAAGTTTGCTTTTTAACTTTTTCACTGATAACAGAATGTGCATAAATTGGTTCATCTTGTATTAATCTTCTTGCAGTTTTCCATCTTGTATAATATTTAATTGATCTTGTACTATGTAATAAACCTAAAAATGCTTCTTTAAATTTCTCTATAGAATTATTTTCCTTGAATAATTCTTCTTTGGTTCTGTTGTTTAAATATGTTTCGAAAAGATGTTTCTTCTCTAAAGAATCTTCAACTAACCAATATCTTGGATCTTTAATGAAAAATGTCATAATTTTACCAAAGGACCATGTAGCATCAACTTCATTTTCTCTAAGCATTTCCACAAATTTTTCATTTGCTGTTCTAACATCCCTAGCTTTGATATCAGAGTTGAATAATGGTGATGTATTATGATATTGTTCACTTGGATCTATGATTGATTGGAACCCTGTCCCATTGTTTATATTTATAGCAGCTGCATTATCTTGATAGTCTTCAACATCTTTAGCAGCTTCTAGCTCAGCTTGAATTTCCTTGGGTATTTCCCATACAGATTCTTTTGTTTTGGAGTTATAATAATAAGTTCTACCACCTTCAGCAGAAAATTGTTTCCAGTCAGTTTTAGCTAATAATTTTTCCAATGGAGATTGTAACTCTTCAGGTTTTTCCCACTTTGTCTCCTTTGTTTCGGCGTTGTAATAGTAAACACGTCCTTCTTTGTCCTTAGCCTCACTCCAGCTCATTATATTGCTTTATTTTATTGAGAATTGTGCAAACTGTCCAAATGTTTCAATATTGGTCCTTTCTTTACAATAGCATACATCAATATAGAACCAGGCCCACTAACTATTTTCAACACCGGGTAAATTTTATTTTCGCGAAAATCGCATTTGTTAGTGATCCCGAAAAGCCAATATTGAAATCTTGAAACTTTGACAGCAAAACTCAACAATTGATAAGCCAAAATTACACTCAATTGGACTGGTTTCAGTTAAAATGGTATGTTATATACTAAGTTTCTGACTTAAGGGGTCATTACTAACAAAAATTGTGTCAAATTTGGGCATTTTCGCTAGCATTAAGGATCTCATAAAATGGTGGAAATGTGTCCAAATAGGAGGTGTTGTATGGGAATTTTATCAATATAGCACTTTACACAATGAAACATCATTAAAATCCTTGCTATGTGAGCCTAGGACACATCGAATACAGTCACAATCACTACGTCCTTATCTATCTGCCGTTAGAACTTCTTTAACAGCTGCCTTATGTTTAGAAGATTTCGCATCACAAGCTGTTGAAAGACACAATAGACCAGAAGTTGAAGCAAAGTAGGTTTTTCAAGGTTTTTTTTGATGATTTATGAACTGCTACTAACACTTTAATTAGTAAATCACCAGAAGTGTTATTAAACCCAATGGTTATTGCTAGAAATGAAAATGAACAAATATTAATTGAACCATCTATAAACTCTGTTAGAATATCGATCAAAATAAAACAAGCTGATGAAATTGAACAAATATTAGTCCATAAATTTACAAGATTTTTAACACAAAGAGCTGAACATTTCTTTATTTTAAGAAGAGTTCCAATTCAAGGCTATGATATCTCATTCTTGATTACAAATTTCCATACTGAAAAGATGTTGAAACATAAATTAGTTGATTTTATTATTGAATTCATGGAAGATGTTGATAGGGAAATCAGTGAAATGAAATTATTCTTAAATGCAAGAGCTAGATTTGTTGCTGAAGCTTATTTAACTCCATTTGATTAGAATTGAGAAATGAGTTTCTGGAATTATTATGTATATTATTAAAAAGAATTCCCAGTGAAATAAAGAATTCCCAATGAAATACTGAGATAAATATGAACTAAATTGAATCATGATTAACATCACATCGTAAAGAAAGATTACCTGATTCTAAGGATCATATTTGGTTCCGGATTAGTCTTTCTCCGTAAACCAATTCGCGCGTACTTTGCAAAATGCAACCTGGAAAAAGTATGACCCGAAAAGAATCTGGAATATCTGGATTCTGAAACCCTTCGAAAAGTTTCTCCACAAATTCACAAATTTTGAGCATACTTCACCAATAATTGTCGAGAATCCAGATTGTACAAGTTTATAACTCGGAATGATATCCTATTAGTTGCGGCGCTCTCGCCTTATGCAGTATTTTAGAAATTGTTATTACTGAAGATATTTTTAGGGGTGAACGCCTAAGGGTAAAACATCTCGACCGTCAACAGAACTTCTGCATCGAGTATAGGTCAATCTATTCCCAAAACGTACACCTTGAGGCAATCAGCATTCGGGACTTTTCCATAACAAGAGCTTTGGAGAGAGGAGAGAGTGTTTCAATTCAAAGGCTAGGTATAGCTAATCTTGTTACCAAAGTTCAAAGGTCATTTATGAAGTTACTTATGAAGTTCAACACTTGGTCATATTACTCTCTATTCACTTCCTATTTTCAACAGATTCATGGCATATGGCTTCAATCTCTACTCAAAATTACAGTTCGTATTTTGGTTATCTAACCCCCAGTTTGATGGTCTTTATATCACCATATATCACCCACCCTCTTGGCCACTGGCACAGCTATATGATTTCCCCAGGTTACCTGTTGAACTTCGGGAATATTTAGTATACTCATGATGCCATGATGCCTAAAATCCAGATGACAAAATATTACAAAGCCATACGATGCTCAAATCTGGGGTGATGAAGATCCTCAAATAGGTGAACTTTGCGGAGCAGGATTAAAGATGGTTTTTCAAAGATTATACGATTGGTTAAAGTGCCAAATGTCTAATATGTTGATCTTTGCTGGCCGGTCAAACTTCAAGCAGTTGCATCAACAAGGTTTTACACTAAAAAGACATTATACGAATGGGTATATCAATAATTGTTCTATATTTCCCCGAGAAAATCGCCATGAATCATCACAATGAATCTTTTATTTAACCGGGAGTCAAACAATTCATTCAGGTATAAATACTAATCAAGATCTACATTTACAGATTCGAAACTCAAAACAGATCTAAAACGCTTCAATAGAATAACACTCACCCTATTATGTTATTGACATCTTGTCTTCAGGTTGCTGCTGTGCTAAGCATAGTATCAGCATCACCAATGAGTGATTCATTTTTCAAGGCAGAAAGTGATCCAAATTATAATGTTGTTCCATTTTATCCAACTCCACAAGGTGGTCGTATTGAAGATGGGAAGTGGCAAGCTGCTTACCATCGTGCAAGACAATTAGTTGATCAAATGACTGTTGTGGAAAAGGTTAATTTAACCACTGGGATAGGTATGTCAAATGGTCCATGTTCAGGTAATACAGGATCTGTTCCAAGATTGGGTATAGAGTCATTGTGTTTACAAGATGGCCCATTATCAGTGCGTAGTGCTGATTTAACAGATGTCTACCCTTGTGGTCTTGCTGCTGCATCTTCATTTAATAAAGATTTGGCTTACGATCGTGCTGCGGCTATTGGTAGAGAATTCAAGGAAAAAGGTGTTGATATTTGGTTAGGTCCAGTTTATGGTCCAATAGGTGTTAAGGCTCAAGCTGGTCGTAATTGGGAAGGACATGGCCCAGATCCTTATCTTGAAGGTGTGTTTGCGTATTTACAAACTCTTGGTGGTCAATCTCAAGGTGTTATTCAATCTGCAAAACATTTAGTCGGTAATGAGCAAGAACTTTATAGGCAAACTGCTGCTGTAGCAAATGCTGCTTTTGGAATCAAATATAAACATAACAACACTAATGAGCTCAACTCTGAAATTGATGATAGAGCTATTCATGAAACTTATTTATGGCCCTTTGCTGAGGCTGTTAGAGCCGGTGTTGGTTCAGTTATGTGCTCATATAATAGACTAAACGGTACACATTCTTGTGAAAACTCGCATTTATTAAACTATTTGTTGAAGGAAGAATTAGGGTTTCAAGGTTTTGTCGTTACTGATTGGACTGCCTTACATTCTGGTGTTGAAGCTGCAATTGCAGGTTTAGATATGGATATGCCTGGTGAACCAAAATATTGGGGCCCAAATTTAACTGCTGCTGCTTTGAATAGCTCCGTTCCAATTGATAGATTAGACGATATGGCTACAAGAATCTTAGCTGCCAAATTTGCCATTGGGGTTAATAATCCAGATGGTCCAAATTATAGCTCAAATACTTTCAAAACTTTTGACTTTGAATTCTCACCACAAAAACAAGGTTCACAGATTCAAGTTAATAAACACGTTGATGTCCGTACTGATGAAAATCGTGCAGTTTCATTGAGATCTGCTATTGAAGGTATTGTTTTATTGAAAAATGAAAATGAAGCATTACCATTGAAAGGTGAAAATGGTAAGCAAATTGCAATTTTAGGTCAAGCTGCAGGTATCGATTCAAAAGGTGCAAATTGTGCATTTGAAGGTTGTGCTGATGGTGCTGCAGGAACAGGTTATGGTTCAGGTGCAGGTACTTTCAGTTATTTTATTACACCAGCTGAAGGTATTGGTCGTCGTGCTCAAGAAGGTAGATTTTCATATGAATTCATTCCAGATTCTTGGGATCAAACTGCTGCTGTTGAGGCTGCTTCATACGCTGATGCTGCTGTTGTTGTTGCTAACTCTGTTGCTGGAGAAGCATTGGGTGAAGTTGACGGTAACCCTGGTGATTTGAACAACTTGACTTTATGGCATAATGTAATTCCATTGATTGAAAATGTTACAAGTGTAAATAACAATACAATTGTCATTATCACTTCTGGGGGTCATGTGGATTTAGAACCATTTATTGAAAATGAAAATGTCACTGCAGTTTTGTTCTCCTCTTACTTGGGTCAAGATTATGGTACTGCTTTAGCTAAAGTTTTGTTTGGTGATGAAAATCCATCAGGTAAATTACCATTCACATTTGCCAAAAACATTGATGACTATGTCCCATTAATTGACAATATTACTGTTGATGAACCAGCTGATAAATTTGAAACATCAATTTATGTTGATTATAAATACTTTGACAAATACGATAAACCAGTTAGATATGAATTCGGTTATGGTCTTTCTTACTCAAACTTCACCTTGAGTGATATTAAAGTTGAAACAATCAAACAATTTTCAGAAGATCTTGAGGCTGCTGCCGATTATACTGAATCATATAGAAACGAAAATGTCAATTTGAAGGCTGAAGATGCAACTGCTCCAGATGATTTCACCTTAATTGAAAATGTTACATATCCATATATCAAAGATACATCATCTATACAATCAAATGGCTCATATGACTATCCAGAAGGTTACGGAACAGAACAATTAAAGAGTCCTGCTTCATTGGCTGCTGGTGGTTTAGGTGGTAATCCACAATTATGGGATCTTGGTTATGTTGTCACTGCTAGTGTTAAAAACAATGGTCCATATGGTGGTGGTTTTGCTCCTCAATTATATGTTTCATTTCCAGATTCAGATGAATTTCCAACTCCTCCAGTTCAATTACGTGGGTTTGAAAAGGTCTTTTTAGACAATGGCCATAGTCAATCTGTGTCATTTGAATTGACTAGAAAAGATTTGTCAGTTTGGGATACAAAATCACAATCTTGGAAAGTCTTAAGAGGTGATTATAAGTTTTATGTTGGTTCTAGTTCAAGGCAATTGGATCTAGTTGAAACAGTCACCATCAACTAACTTTTCTTATAAATACCCTTTAATTCAATCTTTTTTTAATTCGTTTTCGTGTGTGTCACTTTAAATGATACACAATCTTCTCCCAAATTCTACTATATCGTATAGCTCAACGTATATTAAACTGGTTCAATGTATGTCTTTCATTATTTTCAGGCTAATAATTGCTTGACCCGTATCATCAAGTATCTGCCAAAATTATTATATATATATATATATGATTCTTGATCTTGTACTGCATGGGATATTTGACTAGTTAAATTAAAGCTTCTTTTCATAATTTTGATATCGAGTCCACTATATATTATACCATTATACCACATACACATCCATTGCGATGGATTACACACCATCTCATAATCCGTTACGATTGTTCCATAGCGGCGCACCACTTATTCCGGTTGTATCTGATATATCATTTCGTTGATCTTCTATTCAAGTTTCACTCTCGACTCTCGAGTCTCAACGTCTCAACTAATTCTCATGAATTATATGATCGCAATAAAATATCTTGCATGATTCTGCTTACTCAAATATGTACAAATATCAAATACTCGTACAAGGCTCAAGCTATTAACTTAATTTAGACTATAAATGTCCCAAAAGGATCAAGACAAAATTTAAATGCTTATATCATTTTGAGTCATGAGTCGCAGATCTGCGACCTGCGTTCACCTCCGGCGGAAGAATTTCTGGGGTAAAAAATTAAAATTTCTGAGAAATTGGAATTTTTTGAAGTTCATGATTTAATTAACCACGCGCAAAATTTTCTCTTTCAAATTCAATCACAAAGAACTCTTGAAAGTTGACAGTACAATGGATATTCTTATAGGTTTATCTTTAAAATCTAGAGATTGGCTTAATCAAGACGTCAAGAGGTAAAATGAACTACTGCTCGTTTCGTAGTTCATGAATCATGACCAAGTTGTTTTAGTAATCAGTTTGCAAACAAGGAAAATCACAATCCTAACCCTCCAATCAGCAACTCATCATCTACTATATACGCGCAAGTCCCACAAACTTGTTGCAGTGTAACGGGGTGTTATGTATAACGGATAAAGGTTTAAGCTGCTAATATAATGCAGATCCAATCATATAAGCTTTAAGCTTTAAGTATACTCGGGATGTGATGATCCTTTACTACAAATTGATGATGAAATGATGAAATGTCCCAAATCTTAAAGAACTTAATGCACCCATTGTTTACACATTTGTTAAATCTGGAGAAACTTGATACCCATGGAAGATCATGGACCGTATAGTGGATCTATTTTAGAGTATAAATATCATGAGAATCTGCTTCATATTCACTCATGAACGAGCTCTCAAAGATTACAAATCATACAATTCAATAAATAAAGAAAGATGTTGGTTCAATTGGTGCTATACATCAGTTTACTATCAAGCTTGATTTTAGCATCTCCTGTTAGTGAAAATTACTTAGATCAGGGTTTAGATCCAAACTATGTTTCAGATCCATTTTATCCAACTCCTCAAGGTGGTCGTATAAATGATGGGAAATGGCAAGCTGCTTATCATCGTGCTAGAGAATTAGTTGATCAAATGACAATAGCTGAAAAAGTCAACTTAACAACCGGTATTGGTAGTGCAATGGGACCATGTTCTGGTAACACCGGTTCAGTTCCACGTTTAAACATCACTTCAATCTGCTTACAAGATGGTCCTTTATCTGTTCGTTCTGCTGATTTAGTCGATGTCTTCGCTTCCGGTCTTGCATCTGCATCTTCTTTTAACAAAGGTCTTGTATATGAACGTGCTGCTGCTATCTCAAGAGAATTTAGAGACAAAGGTGTTGATGTGTGGTTAGGTCCTGTTTATGGTCCAATTGGTTTAAAAGCTCAAGGTGGTCGTAATTGGGAAGCTTCAGGTGCTGATCCATATTTAGAAGGTGCTTATGCTTATTTGCAAACCATTGCGGGTCAATCTGAAGGTGTGATCCAATCTGCAAAACATTTTATTGGTAATGAACAAGAACACTATAGATTTGCTAGAGATCTTGAAGAACCTCAATTCGGTCCAGTTGATTACAATCATACTGTTACTGAATCTTTAAGTGCTGAAATTGATGATAGAGCCATCCACGAAGTTTATATGTGGCCATTTGCTGAAGCTGTTAGAGGTGGTGTTGGCTCAATTATGTGTTCTTATAATAAAGTCAATGGATCACACGCTTCTCAAAACTCACATGTCTTGAATTATTTGCTTAAAGAGGAATTAGGATTCCAAGGTTTTGTTGTTAGTGATTGGAGGGCTTTATACTCTGGTGTTGATGCTGCTATTGCTGGATTAGATATGGATATGCCAGGTGAACCAGAATATTGGGGTGCTAATTTGACTACAGCTGCCTTGAATGGTACATTGCCATCAGACAGATTAGATGATATGGCTACTAGAATCTTAGCAGCTAGATTTGCAATTGTTTCAGATGATTCAAAAGAACCAAACTTCAATTCAAATACTTTTAAAACTTATGGTAATGAATTTTTTAGTGTCAACGAAGGTCCACAAATTCAACTCAATCAACATGTTGATGTTCGTACTGATGAAAATAGAGATGTTGCATTAAGATCTGCTATC